CGTAGCTTCGAGATAACTCGGTGGGTGGCTTTTTCTCTTAAACAATGAGTCCAATGTTCTTGCACGCATAAAACGTACAATTAATACATTTTAATTTGTTTTAATGGATTTTCTTTTTTCTTCGCAGGATACGAAACAAAATGAAAATCCCAGCAGCTCTGCTGCTGAGCATCCTGTGCTTGTTCTTGTCGACAACAAGAACGAGCGCAGCTTTGGCATCGAACTCGAATCTGCCTAATCAACTCATTCGAGAAGATAGTTTTGCGCCGAATGTTAAATATGACGCTTCGACGATCGTACCAGACGGAGTGGACAAGAAAGTCATATTATCGGAATACGTGAAACCATTCGGCAATCTAAAAAAAGTACTTCTTCAGGAGATTCATACTTTGGACGAGAATACAAATGATCGTCAACCTAATGATCCCGTTCTTCCAAACGTTCGTAATTATCTTTAATATAAATTCATAAGAATAATGAGATTAATTCGAAATATATCTTGATCTATATAGACATACGTATGTATGTATGTATAGATTATGAATATACATTAAATTTTATAATTATAGGCTCAGGTAAAACTGAAAAAGGCAACATCCTCGCTAACAAAATCTATCAATGTGAATGCAAAGGAGAAAATAAATGATACGGAAACGAAAAATCCCGTTTTCAATAAGTTATTAGAAGCCGAAGATATGGAATACATTGGAAATTACAATGGTCAGAATTCTGACGATAAGAACGATAACAGTGACGAAGCTGAAAACACGGACAGCGAATATATCGACGATTACAACGAAGACGATGATATCGACGATGATCTTGAGGAAGACGACGATGACGACGACGATGACTCGACCAATTGTCCCAAACATTGCAAATGTATGGGACATTACATCGCTTCGGTAACGGCAACGTATGTTTCATGTTATTCGTTTATCTAGCGATAGATAAGTAGTTATCGGGAAACGCCGTAAGGATTTTTCTTCATTTATGTTAAAATTTCACAATGCACACTCTGTTCGTTCCAAAGAGAATAAACATTTCTTTTTTTAATGCAGGTGTACCAAACTCGTTGAACAACAATCTTCTGATCCTATCATTGGCGGTTTGCGATTAGAAAATGTCGGTGAGGTTCGTCTTGGTCCGCACGCATTAAAATCCCGTGGACTGCAACAGTTGGGAAATATAAAGATCACGGACACTCGTATCGTCTATATCGATCGTACGGCCTTTGACGGTATCTCGTTCCTCTTCTCCGTCAATCTTACAAGGAACGCGCTTCAGGACATTCATCCCCAAACCTTCCAGAATAATTCGCAGCTGAGTCTATTGACCATTTCCGGAAATCCCTTGAGATACGGTCAATATTTCAAAGGGACGAAACATTATCTCTTCGACGCATCTACCGTCACCGAGCTTGTTTTTTCTAACAACGGTTTACCGAAATTGCCACATACGGCTTTTCAAAAGATGCCGAGCTTGGAGTACATCAATCTAAGTGGAAACAGACTGAAGGAAATCGAAAAGACCCTTTTTGATCCATTGAACAATTTGCTCGAGGTGGACTTGTCCAATAACTTGTTGAACGAAATCCCAGTCGAGCTCTTCAATAACAATTCCTTGGAGACTCTTCGTGTCTCTGGTAAGCTTATCGTATCGAAACTACGTCGCTCGATTTAATCTATTATCAGAAGAGTTAATGGTTTTTTTTTTTTTTTTTCTTTTTTTTTTGTCTTTTTTCTCTTTGATAAAACATGTTGATTTTCTTTGTTCGTTTTAGGAAACAATTTATCAACTCTAGCTAATATAAGAGCTTCGGAATTGACAACGTTGGAGGCAGCCAGAAACAAAATTAAGGTTATAGCGAAAGACGACTTATCGGGTGTACCACTTTTGGAACAATTCATTGTTAGTTCGAATGGAATGAAAAGAATACATCAACATGCGTTCATGAATCTCGACCAATTAACGTATCTTGATGTCAGCGATAACAAGTTGACTTCTTGGTCCGAACATCATCTCAGGACTAATGCAAGATTGCAGGTCTTGTTAATGAACAATAATCCTGACTTGGGAAGCTTGCCTGTTTTCAAAATTACTGGTTACGAATACAACACGTACAGGTGATTGTCATTGTCTCGGAAATATTATTTGCTTCTTCACTAATAGCCTTATCATTTTTAGCACTTATCGTTTGGAATGTTCGAATTGTGGTTTGGAACGATTGGAGCCTCAAACATTCGACGACATGCCGACCTTAACCAAACTGAATTTATCCAAAAATCGTCTTACCGGTTTACCTAACGATCTTTTCAAGTTCCTGTTGTCTCTTCAAGAGCTTGACCTTTCAGAGAACCTAATAGCAACCTTAGAACCAAATATGTTCCGTGGTGCTCTCGCCTTGATGAAAATTAATCTCTCTGGTAATCCCTTAGTAACTTTGCAAGTTGCTCCATTTATGCTGACGCCTTCGCTTAACAAGCTCGACGTGAGCAAATGCGAGTTGGAAAGAGTCTGGAGCGAGGCCAGAGTTCCTTTGAAGAAACTTCGGTAAAAATCTCGAATATTATACTTAAATTTTTAAATGAAGATAAGAAATGAGAAAGTCCAAAGATTTAACATATTAAATTTATATTGCGAATCGTTAGATTCTTATCGGTTAGCGGTAACTTACTGCGACGAATCACTTTGGAAGAACTGAAGGCCATGCCGAAACTTTCAGCCTTGGATTTGTCACATAATCCCTTGGACTGCGACAAAGATTTTAATGCGGCTGTCGAATGGTTAACCGCTCACGGTATTACACCCATCGAGATACGCACGTGAGATAGAAGCATTCTATATTTACTGATTCCTCGATCGTTCCTTTTTTTCTTTCTTTCTTTCTTTCTTATGTTTGTTTAATCATTTTCAACAGGCACAGTATTTATGGCGATAACATGGATTACTCTGACGCGGAAGGCATCACGCAGTGGAAAGATTTAGCGAAAATCGTTTGCGATGGTGTCGAGGATGGACCACCGTCTAGAACGATACCTACCCCAATAAAGTCAAAAGTCATCTTCCCGAGATTACTCGGTGACATAGAGAACACGAATTCTCTTTTAAGCGGAGATCTCGAAGACAACGAGGTAAGTCGAATCGGTTTTTTTTTTCTCCAGAATAATTATTTTGTTATATGGCACCTAAAGACAAGCATCACTTCATACTTCATCTAGCTTACGAGCGCCACTTGTCAACGAAAGATATCCTTTACCCTTTTTATCTTAAGGATTTTGTTATCCTTAGGAACAAATTTCTTACTGATAAGTGATATTTAGCGAATATTACCGACCAAGTATAAAAATTAATGCATATATTTTGCATGCGCGATTAACGCCTTTCAATACCTTTTCAAAACTGTAATTGAATTAATTCAAATCGCTAATTTTAAAAGCACCTTCCATTTTTTACGTCTATTCTTTCTTCAGGATTTAAAAGCATTCGACCATTTCACACAATCGGACGATGACGACAGAGCATGGGAGGAGAATCAATATACAGAATATGGAGATTATATGATGGAAGCATCAAGTTATCGACCATGGTACAGTAATGCACTTTGGCCTATACTAACTGTCATCGTGGTGACGTTAATAATCCTTTTATTGGTTGCTCATGTGGCTATCACTGTGGCGAAACGTCGCGGTCGTAGTCCAGTCATCAGACCACCGATGATCCTTCGTCAAGGTCTCGTCGATAACAAAAATTGTGGTTTAGTTTACAAGCCTCTTCAAGAAGAAATTGCAACTCCTCATATGCCTAAAAGAGGTAGCTTTTACTCGAGCAGTACTTTCCATTACGACAAGATCGTACCCGAGAGCGTATAAACGTATTAATATTCGTTTAAATAAAAGGACTAATTGAAAGTCAATTGATAAATCGATAAATGTGAAGTAATCCAATCGATAGGATGAACATGAAAAAGGGTGGTATGTTTTTATGAATTTATTAGCGTTTTTATTAGATATTACAAGTATTTTACTGATCGAATTATTTTATCCGTTCGTCGAAGACGAACCTCTTCCGTAAGAAAATACAAATGAAAATGATTTCGCGATATCACGAAGAATCGCGAATTTTTTAGTGCCTTTAAGCATTTGTGCTTTCGAAATTTTTATTATCGAGTAATTACGTAAAAGAAGCAATCGATCAATCGTATAATTGAACGAACATTCGTATCCTTAAGAGATAGACGATGTTTTTTGCCTTTTAAGAGTACAAAGGCAATCGAATAAATCGATGGGAAAAATGCAAGTACAAGATATGTTTGGGAAGACGGTGTCCACGATTAATTAATTATACATGTACATTTAATTAATAGCGCATACTAGTTACTTTCGATGTGGCCAGTGTATCATAAGAGAGTGCAAGAATGAGGAAAATAAAAATTATAATGCAAGCTCGAATTCGAAACACTGCCATAGTAATATATGCCAACTGTATGTTTTTTTAAAAGTTCGCAGTTTTTTGATCACTTCAATCACAAAAACTGTTTTACAAGTAACGAAAGAAAAACTGCTCTATCGTAGTACGATATTAAGAATAACATCTTATAGAACGAATAAGTACACTTTTATGTGCGCTACTATATTCTGTAAATAATATATAACGTTTTAATAAAAATTGAAATAAATTAAAAAATAATCAAAGTAATTTTTCCCTTCTAGTTTTACACAAATCACTGGAAGATTATTTAATGAATGATCTTGATTTGATATTTAATATGCGTACAAAAATATTTACATATTCAATGTGCAATGACGTAAGCTCGTATCAATAAAAAAAACTGAGTCTTGTTACAATTCTAAAGTATTTAGTTTCTAAAAGTATATAAACACGTAGAAGCGTGACAATTTATCTAAAATTGAATAATCTTTAACAAAACAACATTATTGACACGTCCCTGTAATGACGCGGAACGCGTCTTACGCAAGCTAGATTGTTGGAATTACAAATGATAGGCAAATAACAGAGAAGGCAATAAGCAAGTCGAACAGCAGTCGTTGTAAAGTCGTCTGAACGAAGAGAAATACGTTCCAAGTGATTCTCCGTTATTCTAATTTTTCTCATTCTCTTTTTCCGTGATTTCTCCTGTTGTTCTTTTTTAATTTTTATTTTTATTTATTTATTTACTTCCCCCCCCCCCCCCCCCCCAAGAATTAATTCATCTCACGGGTTAGTCTGTATTCTTCCGTGATTTTGAAAAATGCTTCCCAGAAGGCGAGTCGTCGAGCTGCTCCAGGTTATTTCGTCTCAATCGTAAGTTATTTTTCGCATCGCATTAGTCTTTACTAATCATTCGAAATATATTTCAATAAAAGAAAAAAAAAAATAAAGTGATTATTAAAAAATTATTATTTTGACGTAATTAGATGCAGATGTCCAGCCCATGGAAATCCAGGAGGTATTACGCCAATAATCGAACAGAGTAAAGTCCGTAGCACTATAGCCAATTCGATTCCATTAAAAGAATATGCGTTCGAGGTAAAGTTTAAGAATCTACAATTGTAATCTGTTTGTTTCATTGAATCAATTTCTTTGCTGATAGCTACGGGATAGTTGATCGATCATGTCATGTAGGAGTAAGAAACGAGTGTTTCAAGTACAAGTAAAAAACCTTCCAATGCCTCTAAATAACGTTTGTTTTGTATCGTCAATCCGTGAAAACAGAATGAGAGAGATAAGAAGAGTCTTTGATGTTATCTACGATTCAGATGACCCACTATAACAGTATCGGCAAGAGCCAAACGATGCTCCTTGTGTATACCGATTGTTTCATTGCCTTTCGAAGTAAACATGTGTTAATGATATAGTATTAATGTTTGATTTTATGATCTTCTTTCTTTTTCTCGATAACATTCAAATATTCGTTTCAGATGGCTTGCTCGACTGTTCGTTATGGCATCGGAGTTACAAAAGAATTGGGACACGATATCCAGAATTTAGGTGCGAAGAAAATTTGTTTAATGACCGATCCAAATTTAATCAATCTTCAACCAGTGAAATCTGCGATCGATAGCTTAGCTAAGCAAGGAATTGAGTTTGAAGTTTACGATAAGGTACGAGTGGAACCTACGGAAGAGAGTCTTCAGGATTCTATAGAATTCGCAAAACGTGGAAAGTTCGACGCCTTTGTTGCGGTAATTATACATCATTTATCGTAATGATTATAAAGAAGTTGATAAAATAAATATTTAAATATTGTAATCATTGATAACAGGTCGGAGGTGGATCAGTGATGGATACGTGCAAAGCTGCAAATCTTTATAGCAGTGATCCCAATGCTGATTTCTTGGATTATGTTAATGCACCAATAGGAAAAGGAAAACCAATTTTAGTCAATTTGAAAGCGCTCATTGCGGTACCAACGACTACGGGTACAGGTTCAGAAACTACCGGTGTATCTATCTTCGATTATCGGCCTCTTAAGGCCAAAACTGGAATTGCAAACAGGCAAGAAGCTAATATTATAAATGAATTTGTTCGGTGATTAATTATTATATTTGTTGTACTTTTTCTTCAAACAGAGCTCTGAGACCTACCTTAGGCCTTATCGATCCGAAGCATACATTGAGTTTACCGCAAAGAGTTTGTGCTTATTCTGGCTTCGATGTACTTTGTCATGCTTTGGAATCGTTTACAGCAATACCATACACGGAAAGGACACCATGTCCTTCCAATCCGATTCTGCGACCAGCTTATCAAGGTAGCAATCCTATTAGCGATGTATGGGCAAGATATGCGCTGCGAGTAATGTGCAAGTAAGTATTAAATATCTTTCCCTCCCTCCCTCCCCCCTATCCATATATTTGTATTATTCTTATCGTATATATTATATTATAGGTATTTTGAGAGAGCAGTATATAGAGAAGACGACCTCGAAGCTAGAAGCAATATGCATCTAGCTAGTACCATGGCTGGTGTTGGTTTTGGAAACGCTGGTGTCCACCTTTGTCATGGTCTTTCTTATCCCATAAGCGGTAACGTTCGTAATTTTCAACCCGAGGTGAGCTCGTAGGTATTGGTTATTTAACATGTGATCATATCATTCTGCGAAGAATGAAATGATTTACTAATTAATGAAATTCCGCAAAATAAAATTACGGCACACCGAAATTATATATTATTTTATTATCAGGGATATAGCAAAGATCATCCTATCGCACCTCACGGTCTCTCCGTTGTTATCTCGGCGCCAGCTGTTTTCTCATTCACCGGCAGTGCTTGCCCAGAAAGACACCTAGAGGCCGCAGAATTATTAGGAACGGACATTAAGGGAGCAAAACGAGCGGACGCTGGAAAGATTTTAGCTGATACCGTAAGAAAATATATGCATGTAATGAAGGTAGAAAATGGTTTGACAGAACTTGGCTTCGAGAAAGAAGATATTCCTATTCTAGTGCAAGGAACTTTACCTCAGGTAAAAGTCACGTTCCATGTTTATTTTCATCTATTAAAATTCAAAGAAGAAAATTAAATAGATAGTTTGGAAATGTTTTGAAAGTATGCGTGATTTATTTGTCACCATACTTATGCGGCAACATATATAACAATTTCGAAGATTAATACATTCGTTGCATCGTTCACATTACAAGTTATCCTTTACAATGTTTAATCTTTATTCGTAATCTCTAAACAATCATTTTCTGTTTTTTTATAGCATCGGATTACAAAATTAGCGCCACGTGAACAATCAGAAGAGGATCTAACGAAATTGTTCGAAAATTCATTCACAATTTATTAAACACGGATGCCTTCTCAATATCGTACATCATATTTTCGTAATTTTATACATTGTTAATAAATTGTCACGAATAAAAAAGAAACCATTTTTGCAGACGATGGCAATTATTGTTCCTTTTCATATATGTTTCTTATTCGATTAAATAGGATATAATTATAAAATTAATTCTTATTATTATAATCCAATTATCTGCCTGTTGTACAATCGATACGATATTACATAATTGACACTGTAAGCTTGAATATATTTACAGTATTTATAATAGTACAATTAAAAGTATTACTATAAATATTTAAATTGGAAAAACATTAGAAATATCCTCAATACGATAATCTTACTTATTAATAATAAAACGGAATGAAAAAAGTGCCTTGATTTTCTTCGTTCCACTAATAAATATTTTCTTGAAAAATTCTTACTTTTATAATATACATACATACATAAACAACTTATTTATATATAAATCTATTCATAACTGCAACATATTTTTTCATACCTTTCATATACCATTTACTTATAATTAATAATATTAGAATTTGATTTTAAAAAACTTAAATGTTTAATTTTATATACATATTTTATTATCATGAAACGAATAACGGTGGACGGAGAACGTGCTAAGAAATCGAAAAATTCTAAATCGGTATTAATATGCACGATTTGAACGATAATTATTTAAATATTGAATCAAAAAATTCTTACGAATACTTCACGAACAATATACATGAGGGTCAATGGATTAAAAAATTTAAAGAATTAGTACATTTTTATGAGTGTATCAGTCTTATAAGAATGTCGCAAACTTTTTAAATTTCTTAACGCCATTGGCAAATCAACTTTGTTGATAAAAAATTGATTTATCCTATGGTACATTGTTCGTTATTCGAACTTATGATGAATTTTTAATTTAATCTATAAGATGTCTTAGATTTTCAAACCGCATTATGCAATAAATCCGATGAAAATGGCCATTTTTGTCTATAACACTCAATATATCATTTTCCACTCATAAATACTTTCACATCCGATTCTAACAATAATAATAATAATAATAATAATAATAATAATAATAACAATTACATTGATAATACATATAATAAAAATAAAGAGAGAGAGAGAGAGAGAGAGAAAGGAGACAGATTAATTGACATACAAAACAATACATTTGTGGTTCGATTGTATCGATCACTGACGTTTCGAGCGTCTGATGATCCTTAAAAAGCGACCCGTTACAAACGCAACGGATAAGGACGTCGAGACAGTCGAAACTTTGACAAATGATCTTATATATATATATATATAGAACAAATTGTAATTGACATCGATTTTAAACACACATAAATAAATAAATAAATAAAGAGAAGAGAAGCTTACAGTTCGTCGGTTAACAGTCCCATCGCACGTTTTCGTCCATGTTTGTTCCAAAGAACGTGAGGATGCTTACAACCAGATACCATACGTGCATTTAATTGGAACCATTCGTATTGCGTGGTATACGTTTCATTCGTGAAACCCTCGAAAAAATCTATTATCCGATAAGAATTTTTCTCGATGTAACTTTCAAAATTGCTATGTTCTTTGTAATTTAAACCGCGGATCCAATTGTTGAAGGAATAAAGGGCTCTTGCCTTATTAACGTGTCCATGCAAGGATAAGTTTGCCAATGGTGGAATCGTGCAAATTTTTATTGCTGAATTCGAGAAGGCAAATTTATATCTTAATATTTTCAATAAATATTCCATACTCTTGATTAAATCGTCGAAAGAAGCACCCTGATAAATTTAATAACAACGTTTTCCGACTTATTTGTCACCTTATTATTACAAAATTATATTGTAAAAGGTTACCTACGTTATAGATATCAACAGCTCCCAACATTATAATAATTTGATTGGAAATACATTCCACGTCTTTTAATCTTTTGATACAATCATTTATCGTTTGTCCCGATATGCATAAACCGCAACGGAGAGCCATATCTCCTATTAAATATGACATATTCTTTAAAATTAATTTCTTCTTTGCAATATTCTTTGATTGACGTTTTCTTTCATATATCATTATTGTTATAATTGTTACAAATATAAGGGATACTTTTGTAAAAGATCAAGCAAATGAGAAAGAATTAATTACCTATGTAGCGCCATACTGGTAGACCAAGATTTCGTATGACCAATTGAAGAAAAAAATCATCTCCTATAAGCTGATGACGGAGAAGAATAGGCTCGTAAATAGTTTTCTAAATAAACAAAATAGTTCCTTGATAATATTTCATTTTCATTTATCATATATAGGAGAGAGAGAAAGAGAGTGAGTAACCATTGATACGAACCTCTATTTGTGATTTACATTTTTCGATGACTACAATATTGTTGTGTTCACTATCATATACTTCATAGGACAAACATTTGTTATCTCTTGTACTCTCTGTAACATGTAGGGAATGCATTTACAAATTTCTTTTTTAGTGATATTCGAATTATAATGTAAAAATATATATTACCGTAATTAGAAGAATTTAAATTTAAATTCTGATTTTCTTTTCGCCGTTTGTAATATTTTATATTATCACTGAACCAAACTTTATTTCTATCTTCATATTGTTCGTCTTTACTCGTATTTGTATCATTATGATTAATGTTATTATAGCAACTTGAAGGATACGTTGTAAATCGTTTGTAATACTTTGACTATAAAAATACACGTAGAGCGAATATACAATAAATATTAAAAAGGATTAAATATCTATTTTATGATTCATTAACTTACGTTAGTTGCCTTGTAATCTTCCTTTTGTTTCTTAATTAAATCAACAATGTGTTTAATTTTGGGATCGTTTACAATTAACGTTTCTTCCCCATTTAATTTTTTAATAGTCTTCAATCCGTCTACTTTGCTTAATAAACTTTGCAAACTAGAAAATCCTAATCTTGTATAAGGAATTGGTTCTCCAACGATCTTCTCGAATTCATCTGTAAGCAAAAACATATATATAAAATTAATATAAACGTAGTTAAAGTTTCGATTTTGTACAAGTTGAGTAAGTATTCTAGTGTTAAATGAACACTTCGATACTTACTATTTAAAGATCTAATTGGTATACCCCCTTTTTTGGAAATTAAACAAGACTTAATTAGAGCGATAGTTTCTTCCATTTTTGAAAATATACTTTTAAAATATTGATATATTATATGTCATGATCTCTTGTAATGATTGATTATTTAATGGGACAGGAATTAAAACTTTATCGTTCAACGACGGAGAGAAGACTAAATCTTAAACTCTACGAGAAATCTCCTTAATCCTTAAGACAAACTTCGGACAAACTCAAACGTTCTCGATTCGTAGAATCGAGAGTAGAATACTTATAAAAACTATCTCTCGTGATTCGTAAACATTTTCTTTGAGCTATTAACTAGAATTAGCTATGAATAATGAATTAGAATTTATCTATTTCGAAAACTTTTGGTTATGATTAAAATCAAAATAAATTTATTTTTAAATAAACTATAATAACTACGTTAGTTAGATCGTTGTTTTAAGTCTTATAAAGGCGTATGTACGAATTTAGCTAAATAACGCGTACCGACAACTTTGATCGTTCCTTTTACATTTTCAACAATTTATAATTAGCCGAAAGACGCACACGTGTTTGAACACGTGCAGAAAAGCCACACGATGTTCAAGACTTATGGGATGCATTCCTCGAATACCAGACGATCTCGAAAATTCGTCTTCTGAAAACAGTCGAAATCGTGAAGACAGTATATGAAGGATAAAAAAGTAAGAATTAATAAAAATAATATAATTATGATTAACGTATTACGTTTTATCGATATTATTAATATTTTTAATTTTATTTCATTTCTTCGTTACTAATCGATTAGTTGTTCATGAATGTTTTTCGTTCAACAAATCGATTCATCGAAATTATTTTTATTGTACATAAATTCGTATTATTTACTTATCAATTATTCCGACATTTATGAAAATTATTAAAATTGTAAGTATTCGAAGACACATACGTTGTTTCTCCTCGTTCAAACAACAAAATTATGGCTGTCGTAGGGATAAATGGATTTGGAAGGATAGGAAGAATGTGCTTTCGAGCCTGTCTTGAGAAAAATGTCGAAGTAATCACAACATCTTATCGTTAATTAAATCGTTCGATCTCGCCCATAAGCTTATTATAATTTTAGATATGAAAACTTGCAGGTGAGCCTAATTAATGATCCCTATATTACGACCGACTATATGATATATCTTTTTAAATACGACTCTACTCATGGATTGTTTCCTAAAACTATATTATGCGAAAATGGATGTATAATTATAGATGGTTAGAATAGTAATATATTTGAATGAAGCTAAATTACTAGATATATATGTAGCCACTATACATACACACACATATATATATATATATGTGTGTATATATAAGAAATATGTTTGTCTTAATTTAGATAAAAAAATTGTCACGTCACAGGAGAAAAATCCATCGAAAATTCGATGGAAGGAAAACAATGTAACATATGTAATAGAAGCTACAGGAGTATTTACAACTTTGGAGAAGGCAAGCGTAAGTATAATCGTACAAAAAATTATTTTGTGTCATGACCGATACACAATCAGAAGTACTACGAAGTACTACAAAGTACTACCAAGTATTACCGAGATATACGTACATATAATGTTTACATGTTTTTATATAATTTCTTATTCGAAAGAATATATTGTATAATTATAAATTGTATAATTATATTGTCTAATTCTAATTAGTTGCATAACGATGGAGGCGCAAAAAAGGTGATAATTACAGCACCTTCGATCGATGCACCCATGTACGTATACGGAGTTAATCATAAATGTTACGATCCAAAAAAGGGCAACGTAGTATCGGCAGCTTCTTGCACGACGAATTGTGCAGCTCCTATCATTAAAATTATGAACGATAATTTCGAGGTACTCGAAGCAATGATATCCAGTGTGCATGCTGTAACAGCTACCCAGAAAACGGTAGACGGGCCGATAAATAAGGTGCTGTGTAAAAGATAGCGATCCTTTTTAACTGTAGTACAAATAATTCGTTACATTTATTACCTATAACTATCATTTTACTTTGACTCTTCAGTTATGGAGAGATGGAAGAGGAGCTTTGCAAAATATCATACCAACATCTACGGGAGCGGCCAAGTCATTGGCAAAAATTATTCCCTCTCTCAAAGATAAAGTATCGGCGATAGCTTTTAGAGTACCAACATCTAATGTCTCGTTATGCGATATGACATTTAGGTAAATTGTCATCGACTCAATTCGTTTAGAAATTTACATGAATAAATTCTGTTCGACCTTAAAGATCCGAGATTTTTTTCTAGAATCAATAAGCCAACGACGTATGACGAAATAAAAGCAATGATGAGAAAGGAGTCCGAAGGAGAATTGAAAGACGTGCTAGGCTACACGGAGGACGATTGTGTTTCCTCCGATTTTAATCATACCATTTATTCCTGTGTCTTCGACGCAAAGGCCGGCATTCCTCAAACGAGTACATTTATCAAAATTATCGCATGGTTGGTCAATTTTATTAAAAACACTTATATAATATGTACTTCGATATAGATATTGGTATATCTTAATTAATTCTATTTTTTTTTTGTGTGTTTTTTAGGTACGACAACGAATACGGTTACGCACATCGTATCGTTGATTTAATCGTATATATGTACGATGTTGATTCTGGCAAGATTTCACCCATAGAAACTGTCACTGAAGATAAAGAATAATCGTGTAAAAGCATAATACAAAAAAGGCATATATTATTTTACGTCTTTCGTATCGTTATATTTTATTGTATATACTTGTTACAATGTATTTAAATGATACATATTTCAATGATAAAAAAAAAAAAGAATTAAAAAGAATTTTCAAGAAAATTTCTCTCGATCACATGTTTGAATCTCGCGGTTATATCGAAGGTCGATAGTTGAGATGTCACGTGAATCCGAAAATGGCCGAAAATAAACGAAGCTGGACGAACCGGTAGAAGAACTTACGGCGCACACGCCAGGAATGTACATCGGTTATATTACCGTTTTCTGCCCTTCAAATGACACTGCTTCTGTGGTAACCGTAGTGTACGGGTCTTTTCATTGAAGGTGAGTAAATTAAAAAATTACGATTATCCTACGGACCTTGATTTTAAGCGTCGCACTGTATTTTCTAAACGTTCAATTCTCATTTTTCTCGATATCTTTTTCGGTGATTCGATAATTTATTTTTTCATGGGAAAATTCATTTTGCCGGCGTCCATTGTCTACCATGACCGATCTCGCGTTCATGGAAGAGAAACGCAAACGGCGGACGACGGTTCATCCATTGATAACGCATCTTCTTTTATTTCTCTTGTATTTGCATGATGCCGTGAACTCGTGCACGTACGACACGTATCGGCTTACACGTAGACACATACCTACATATTTTGTCACTTGATAGATGACGTTAAAAGAAGTAATGACGATTATGAGCAGATAAAAATTATTTCATTAAAAATTGACGAATATTCGACGAGAAATAGGATCGACGTTTCGTTCCTGACGCGTAAAATCTTTTAGAATAAAAATATGTTCCGTAGTAATCCCGTTTCTAATTCAACATATTTACGGTATCCTGTAGTCTGTAGGCTTTTTCGTCAAATTCTTTTTTCTTCGTTCCATAAATGTAGATATTGTTTCGTTTCTATACTAAATTTTAACTTGGTCAACGTAGGCGCGTCCTGTCTCTTCTCAACGAAGTATTATATATGTGTGTATATAAAGAGGTAATCAATATTTCTATAAATCGGCACAAACTTTTATAAGAGATAAAGAATATCTTGGAGGTTATGTTTCAGAATTTTTATATTACGGCAATGCTCTTTCGAGAAATAAAATAATCAACAAATTTGACATACAAGATACTTTTTGACATATTCTCTGTAAATAATGTGACTTATTGACGCGTTACGTCAGTCAGGAATGCGATTGCACTATTGCATATTATTATGTAAATATTAATAATGCATCGGTTCGATGAAATGATGCTATTTCCGATTAATCCATAAACAAGGTCGCGCTCATCGGTCGTCAAGGGCACGCTCGGAAATTCGATCCCTTTTCTTTAACCTTGTTCAACCTTCAAAACGCAGCGTCCGATATTTCATTTCTCTCGATATAATTTTTTTTCTTAAACTCCTATTGCAACTCTCATCTTTTCTTTTTACATTATCGGTCACACATTCTAAAATAATTTTTTCGTTCCTTGATATTCTAACAATAATACGTAATCATTTAATTTAATCGTAAAGTCATGATTATACAAAATTTCAGAACGAATTCGCAACAAAAATGATGTAGTAATAATCGGTGATATTTTCTCATTTAAATCCTTTATGAGATGTTTCAAAAAGTTAACCTCAATTTGCGCAGTTAACGTAGTTATTGCCCTTCTCTTAATATTCCATACGACGATGTCGTACGATTAATGACAATCGTTTGCTCATTCATTTTCCAGTATTAGCAAAAAAGACAACATGAGCAAAATCGGTATCAACGGATTTGGTCGTATCGGCCGTCTCGTTCTTAGAGCATCACTTGAGCGTGGTGGTCAGGTACGTAAAACAATATTAAAATATCGAAGGTATATGTTTATGGAAACAAAAAAATGATAATACTAATAGGTTGTCGCCATCAATGACCCCTTCATTGGCCTGGATTACATGGTATACATGTTCAAGTATGACTCCACTCACGGAAAATTCAAAGGTGAAGTTAAGGCCGAGGATGGTTGCCTCGTTGTTAACGGCAACAAGATCGCTGTTTTCAGCGAACGCGATCCAAAAGCCATTCCATGGTCCAAGGCTGGTGCCGAATACGTAGTCGAATCGACTGGAGTTTTCACCACCATAGAAAAAGCCTCCGTATGTGGAATATATATATATATATTTTTTTTTCCTTTAAAACTATATCCGATTTAAATTCTATTATAGTTTTATTTTTATTGTTGTTTGAACAGGCTCACTTGGATGGTGGTGCCAAGAAAGTTATTATCTCGGCACCATCTGCCGATGCACCGATGTTCGTCGTTGGTGTCAATCTCGATGCTTATGATCCAAGCAATAAAATCGTCTCCAACGCTTCTTGCACGACCAATTGCTTGGCTCCTCTTGCTAAAGTTATTCACGACAACTTTGAAATCATAGAAGGTCTTATGACTACCGTTCACGCTATCACGGCAACCCAAAAAACGGTTGATGGACCTTCTGGAAAGGTATATACACCTACCTTCCTTCTTCTTCTCTTTGTTATAAATATAAAGGTTTCCATTTTTGAAGAAGTACGTCTTCTGACGAGTATCTTTTTTATTAGCTGTGGCGTGATGGACGTGGTGCTGCGCAAAACATCATCCCTGCCGCAACAGGTGCTGCCAAAGCAGTTGGTAAAGTAATTCCAGCTTTGAACGGAAAACTCACTGGTATGGCCTTCCGTGTACCGGTACATAACGTCTCTGTTGTTGACTTGACCGTACGACTAGGCAAACCAGCCACGTACGATGACATCAAGGCTAAGGTTAAGGAAGCCGCAGAAGGCCCTCTCAAGGGTATTCTTGGCTACACGGAGGACGATGTTGTCTCCTCCGACTTTATCGGCGACAATCACTCTAGCATCTTTGATGCCAAAGCCGGTATTCCATTGAACAATAACTTTGTCAAGCTGATTTCGTGGTACGACAATGAGTTCGGTTATTCCAGCCGTGTAATCGATCTCATAAAGTACATGCAGTCAAAGGACAACTAAGCTCGCCTCGAGTGTCCTTTGTCCAAACATATAATACTGGCGTCGTTTCTCTCGTACGATCGCTTCTCTGCTGTTAATGAAAAACTCATACGGTAATTGTTATTAACGGTCACAGTAGTTCTTCAGAGAAGTTTCAGAAGCAACAGGAGTTATTTCGTCGGTTTCCCGTAAGATTTGTCTCGTCGCACAGGAAACAGTAGAACGATGAGATTTTTTAGGTGGTCATTTGTCGCGAATACAAGTACAAAAAAAAAAAAAGAAATAGAGCTGGCTCTAAAGTTTATCCTGTCGTTATTTAGAAATCAAACGGAGCCACGTATTTTATTCGTAAACAATTATAAAATCACCCTATCTGAGAAATGTATCTCGCATTGGTATGATAAAAGCACACGTAACATATCCTTTTTCACGACTCCTTCCTTCTGCCTCTTTTTTCTCTCCATTTTATCTTACATCATCGAATATGTCACATCGTTCGTGATTTCCTCTTGAAGTCATTAATAATTATTTTTCATTCTCGCATTGAAACGAATAAAAGATTGTTACGAAAGTGAAACACGTTTCGTTTATTCTTTCTGCTGACCTTTCTTTAGCTTCGAACAATATTTCGATAGATTATTTAAAAGCATGGTTAAAACTTGCAATAATTTAACATAAATAATTTTTAGTTGAATTGAACTTGACTTTATCTATAAATAAACATTTATCGAGTTTTCATTTGATTGTCTAACCAATTAAATGTAGCGTCTGAAGACATACGTCTTATACTTACTCGATTGCTTTTGCAAACACCACATCTATCGGTAAGAAATTTATTTTATAATTATATTTACAGAGAAATTTATTTTCAATTTAGCAATCAAATTTGGTGAGAACATAGTGGTGTGATCTTTTACAGAAATTTGTTAATATATAAGCTTTAATATCGACTAGAGTGAAGCAAACAACATAAAATGCAATAAACGATTTAACTGTACAATAATATCATGAAGATCAAGGAAAATATCTCGCTTGGATTTGTGGGATAGTAAAATATTGCATTATATGGCACAAAGATAATAACGTTTCTTGTAACTTCATAAAGAATTGTACAAGGTGGATAGAGAACATTATAATTAATTTCTTTTTTTTTCCTCGTATTAACAACAATAAAATCGATAATTTTATTTCGCCATTTAATTTTCATTCTCGTAATAGACGACTTTTAAAGAATGAATAGAAAAATTAATATACTCTGTATAATCCGATCACGGGCATTGTGTTTTGTTTTGCGATCGGATCATTTCTTTAATTATTCTGTTCCTGCAGATTCTCTTTTCGTTAAAGTTTTTCTCTCTCACTCTCTCTCTCTCTCTCCTCTTTGTCTAATTCTGTCTAATGCCTAAAATACTTATATAATACAATAGCTATCACGAAGTAAAACACGATTTAGTAAGACTTTTCTTAGTATATCAATACTAAGCTATACCTCATGCAGTGAAAAATTTGATTGTACAGCGATACGAAAATACAAGTTGACTTTGTTGTTAAAAATGTACAAACGTGATCGTTAATACTCTTCGCATAAGGTCCCCTGCGCGTTCTCAAATTTAAGTTTATCATTAGAGATTTTACCATTTGACGTGTCTACCATTTCAGTCTATTATCGTAAATTTAAATAAAGATAGAATACGATTTGTTGGACGCAGACAAGTTTCTATGCGAAGACAATGACTACGCTTGTACGCGTTTATCATACGTCTTTTTTAATGAATATCTAGTTTTGCAGTGTACAATAAATGTAAAGCTAAGACTATTACATCGTCTTTTAATAAATAATTTCTTGTTTGGAGATATCCGTCAATATACAAAGATCATTTGATAATTTTGGCAATCGACAGATATTTTCAAATAAAGATGACTGACGATTTGCAATACTAAAACTTTAGTGGATGTAATTACAAAGCTAATAAATAGCTTTTACATTCACGGTACAAAGAAGGAATAATTTTCATAGGATTCCATCGGAAAAAAAAAAAAAAAAAGAGACGCCCACCTAAATATAATCAAGAACTTGACGTCTTAGTTATCGATGCGTAAACATTATAAAAATGTATATATATATGTGTATGTATGTATGTGTATATGTATGTATATATATATATATATCTTTGCACTGTAGAATCCTGCAACGACAGGAAATAGTAACTCCAATTATTGTAGAAAAAGCGGAACTACCGCAACATTATTTTTGTTCGAGCCTTTATCTTTCATTCGCACAATTGACTTTGACAGATATACATATAATTATACCGTCGAAAGAAGATCAATTCTAGACTAGGTACGACATATTAAATACATGAGTTTACATTGAAGAATGGAAAACGGTACTTCGAATGTATGTACGAGAAAGAAGGACGAGATGGAAGGATCAGACCAAAAGCATGAGTTTCGCACGAAGATTTATACGTTCTTGAAGAGCGCTGGCTAATTCACGCGTCAATTCTTCACAAACTAGTCGAAGTTCTGCATTCTTTTCTCGCAATTCTTGCAAAGTTAATTTCTTACCATCTTCAGGATCATCTTTCGCAGAATCTTCTTCTCCAAGTTCTCGTTCTAATATAATTAATAATATCATTGAATATATTTTTACTCCACTATTAATTCTAATAAAACTATTAGTTCCATTAAAATATCTATCTCTTACTTGGACTGGGTTTCCTATAAATATGAAATGCACCACAGACACCCGTAAATTGTTGAGACTGCGGAATACTATTCTCCAACGAGGGATTTTCAGGTAATTCATTCTTTGGAGAAAAATGCGAAAAATCAGCTACAAAACCTTGACTTTCGCTTAGCGTCCTTTGTCCCTCCCCTTCGCTTCTTTGGCCAACCAATTTTCGAGGTGAAGTCTGCGGCAGATACGAATGATAAATTTTCTTAAAAAATTACGTTCCTAATTTGCTTACCAGGTCGTCCGCGTTAAAGTAATGATGATAAATGTAAAATAAAATTGTAGAACTTAAAGATGTTCATATATATATATATATATATATATATGTGTGTGTGTGTGTGTGTGTGTGTGTGTGTGTGTGTGTGTGTGTGTGTGTGTGTGTGTGTGTGTGTGTGTGTGCGTGTATATATATATATATACATATATATATATATTGAAAATAAGGGTCGATTAACATATATCGAAATAACAAAGCAAACTATTATAAACGACTGATTAATGTAATCACAAACGAAGACATATAATTTAATAGATAGAGTAACTTACGATTCCTGGTGAAATTCTTGGCGGTACGAGCGGAGGTGCTCCGAGAAAACTTTGACCGTTTTTCCCTACAAGAACGTGCACACATTTTGAGCAGTGATAGATTTGCTTTCTCAGCTGCGAATGAAAAGTATCGCAGTATACCGGTAGCAACATGTACCTAATTTATTAAGATCAAGACTAGAACTTCGTGCGTGTGTTCTATAAGGCCTAGGAGGTGGTGGAGGTGGTGGTTCCTTCTTTGGAGTTACTATGATAGCATCTTCGGCCGATTGTGGTGGTTTTTTAACAACAAGCGGTCGCTGTACCAAAGATGCAGGAGAATGTTGCAAATCGTCTTCACCTAACGTGGTACAACTGCTATTGCTACCATTGGCCCCAGAAGCCAGAATAGCTGCCTCTGGCGTTAAACGAAGAGCTACCGGATGTAAAATTTTTGGATCTCGCTCGACGGCAGATTTTTGAAAATCAAAATTAACTAGCTGTAGCCCAGGACTCGTGAGAGAGGTAGTTGTGCCGGTCGGCGAGTCAACGAATTTTGTCCATTCCTTGTTCTTATCTCTCATATTTACTGAATTAGGTGGACTGCTTTGGCACTTTGTCGTCGATGAAACTGGCGGCGGTGCATTTGTAGTTTGCATAACTAATGGAATTGACAAGGACGGAGGTAAAACATCGGGAAGTGGTACATGATTTCTTCTGAGGACAACTAGATGCATAGCTACATAAAATTCTTGTAAACTCAAGGCTCCATCTCTGGTAACATCCGCTAGCTGCCAAATACGTCTCAGTTCTGCTACAGGAAGTCTAGATTTCTCGAAAAATGTTCGAGCTACCGGTCCGGCTAGGAGTCCTTCTGGATCAGACTGCAGTTGCGCAAATTGAGCAGCGTAATAGTCACGCTGCTCGTCGCTGATAATCCACACCTCTTCCGGAGGAAAGCCCGAACAATCTCCTTCTCCTTCACCTTCGTCGCTGCTGTGACGTTCCGAGCTCTCCTCTTCTGTACCTAACAATTGTCTCTGCTCTTCGGACATAAGAAGACCTTGCCAGCCGCCAGAAACAGTATCCAATATTGTATCGCCACCCAACATTCCATCGTTTCGTTCTTGAATAACGCTATTGGTCGGTGTTGGAGAATCCGTACTTCCGCCGGTTTCTCTAGGAGATTCTGCTTCGCTTTCACTTTCCGTAGTACTTTCAGGTACATGACATCTACTTTTTATACCTCTCGTAGAATCCGTACTTCTTCTACCATCCTCGTCTCCAGAAGTTGGCCATGTAAATCTTGGTAGAGTTATAATATCTAAAGCAGCTGTTACCATATCTCTACAAACATCCAGTCCTGCTTGATGGGCTGCCACCAGTTTAAGAACCGCATAAAACTGCTTTTTACCTATATGAGTTGTGCCTTTGATCCCAACGCAGATGTCCAATATCTAAATAAAATGAGAAAAACAAAATGACAAATTTGCCGAAACAGTTCACTGCATCTGAAGCTTGTTAATATATATATATATATATGTATATGTGTACATATATATATATGTATATATGTATATATATATATATATGTGTGTGTGAAACAGTTGGAGTCCATAATTAATGAATCATGAATATATAATTTTGGACTATCAAGCACGGATAGACCTAACCTTCTGTACTTATAGTACAAAAAAGATGTATTGAAATGATAGAAAAATTAAAGAAACATTTAATATCTTGCCGTGAGATAAGAAAAATGAAATTTGAAAAGTAAATAAAATAAAAGGCTCACCTTCATCGTGACGTCTCGCGGTAAATTCGCAGAGCATAAAAGCTCGGCAACTTTAACAACCGATACGCTGTCGCTATCAGCGTTTTCACAGCAATATATAAAAATATCGCCATAATAGCGATGCTCGGTTGCTGTCAGATGAAGGTTCGCCATCGTAATCGAATCCCAATCCATCTTGGCAGCGTAACGCAAAACTCCTTCCTTGCTTCTCACCAGGGGCTGGAAACTCCTCCTGTTTTTTGAAGCCATTCAGTTAGTTCCGGGGAAATGAACTTGGCTAGGTGGCAGTACTGTCGAAAGTGTCAAGAAGACGCTGGACAATAATAATAAAAGTTCTATATTTCTTTGCCAATAGTAATGATCAACAATACGATTATCTTGTAACGCGTGCCGTGAAGAAAAAATTATTGCGAAGAACTTCTTTTTATTAAATAGATTTTAATAAGAGCAGAAATTTTATCTGTACGAAAATATAATTAGAACGTAGTGCAACGTAGGGAATTTTAAGAATCAATAGTGGATACACCTTTGAATGGTGTACTCTGCTTGAAGAAGTATTTGATTATTTTTATGATACGAATGTCTATCAAGGAGGGGGATATTGAAAAAAAGCCAAAGGAACTGTGCAACAAAGTTAATAAAGTTTGTTTATTTAGTATTAATATCATTTACAAATAGAAAGATTATGAAAAAAGAAACATTTTAAAGTAATGATAGATGAGAAACATTAATATAATGATGAATGTGTTTAAAAAAAAAAAAAAAAAAAAAAAAAAAAGAAAAAAAAAAGAAACGAAAGAAGAATTGAAAACAAATTGAATTTTTATTTCTTTTCCTCCTTCTTTTGTTCTTCCTTCTTTATCTCTTCTTTCTTTGGCTCTTCCTTCTTTGGCTCTTCCTTCTTCATCTCTTCCTTCTTCATCTCTTCCTTCTCTTTTTTCTTTTCTGCTTCTTTCTCTCGAAGAACTGGCTTTCCAGTTTGTTCAATCTTTATCGGACGTTCGATCTGCTCTTTTAACATCTTATTCTTTCTTGGTGCGGAGATACTGAGGATACCGTCGGACGATAAACTACAGGATACCTGATCTATGTCGCATTGCTCAGGAATCAAATATTTCCTAGTAAATTGTCTCGAAATCCAACCGTGTTCGTCCTGTTTCTCATCGTGCTTGGCTTCAACGACGACGCATTTGTCGACGATCTTGGTGTTTATTTCTTCGGGTTTGAACTGTTGTACGTCCAAAATCACTTGGAACTTATCTTTGTCAGCCTTTACCGTCGACGTACCGTCCTTTTCATTTTTACGCAACAATTCACCCCATGGTCTATAATATAATAAAGGATTTCTTAGTTTCCTATCTCGGCTTGGCATTAGATATAATTGTTCCAAGGAAATTGGACTAATTAGCTGTTCGGGATAAAGTCCGAGTCCAAAATTTTGATCGAAGAGACGATGAGGACGATCCAAATCCTCCCACCAATCGGAGAAAATTAATGGTACCAGAGACATCGTATATTTGCGCCTTCAAAGATGCACCAAATTTGATTCTTAGCTTTTAAACAAAGTCTTTTTTCTGTGGATCACTTTCTTTATTTCTTTCGAGCGACCGCTAGTAACTGCCTGCCGCACCGTTCTTTCCACTTCATTTATACGGCGAGCCGGCCGGCAAAGTATTTGTATACCAACGTCGAATTGGTACCTATCGACGGGGGGAAGGAAACGAGACGGATGGAGTCTGCCAAAGGAATATTCTTAAATGATGCGCCGCGCATTTTCGAGAAGATTCATGCTATTATTTTTCGTCGTACATCGTAGAAGTATAGCCATTAATCTTAAATAAAAATCTTGGAAAATTCTCATACGGATAAATAGAAATAAAGAGAAATTCTAATGGAGACAGTATCATGTTTCCCTTCTTGTTTTCATAATCTTCGTAATCTTACGCACGCAGCGTAAGAATTATGTATCGATATAAATCGATATTCGTTTCGAGAGTTATGTTTCCTTCCAAAAATATTGTCCTCTTTTTACATTGCCAACGATAAAAGTAAATAAGAAAGATTTTGTCATTTGTTGGATTTGTTTGCACTCGGATGAAATGAGTTAAGCATAGGGAGTACGAAAATGGTAAAGGTTTCGTGTTCTATGGTATAGTATGCGTTGCTATCAAATGCGCGACCATTCTATTCTCGTCCTACTCGACAAAATCGATCTTACTCGATGCTTCTATGCGTGCACGTATATAAATTCGTTCTTCGTGTTGGCAGCAAACTCGTATACCAACGTAAGCGTATTTTTCGATGCAGGTCGATGTGCCGAGAAGGCACTTTTACCTTAGGAACTGTTCGCCAAAAGCCAAAGTTCGCTGAAATAGAAAGAAACTAACGACACTCGAGATGCGATAATAAGAAGAAGAGGAAAAAAAAATGCTTTTAATTTGTATTATATATAACGAAAGAATATAAAACTTTATTTCTCAGTTATTCTATATATATATACGAACAAGTATAAAACTTATAGGTTATATTTTAAAAAGCATAACGATGTCAATTATTTGTCAGTTTTTTATACTTTTATAACCCAAAATAGAAACTTGGAAGACTGCAAGTCTGATTTGATTTTCCATTCTAATTTTCCATTACTTTAGTTATATTTAGATCGGAAAGAGCATTTCTACGGTTGATTTATTTCGTGGGAAGAGACGCAAGAAAACGCGCGAAAGAAAAGGATTAATTTCTGAATATGTCCACTTTGAGTTTTTTCGATAACGTACATATGTCTACGTCAACAATAAGTTTCCATTTTCATTGATCGCGAATAATATCACTCGTTGTTAAATCATATATATCAATATTTAAATTTCTTAATTTAATATAAATTTTAAATATAAATTTTTAATATAAAATTTTTAATTAACCATTTCAAATATCAATCGAGATAATTACATTACATTTTATGAATTATATTTATTTCCAAATTATCGAATCTTTACCCACATTTTTTCTACTTTACCAGCAGTACATATAATAGTATCAAAATAACGCAGGCACAATGCACAGTTCGTATCACTTACCGATAATAATAGTTCCTTAGAATAGAGATAATACATACGATAATATCTATTTTTACTAATTACAAATTACTTCAGTATGATCATTCTGATATTTCTAAAGATGCAACGTGGACAATGCTATCGAATCAATAAAGTGATAAATAGATAACAATTATTATTAAGTCGATAGCAATATGGTAACGATAATTTCAAAATTTTAATGACGTAAAAAGTAAATGAACATCAATTCAATCAATACTCTTTCTATGGTCTCAAACGGACACTGCATATCTTTTTAAATAGCTTAGTAGTAATCGCTATGCCAATGAGTTTTTTCAAGGAGCATATATGCAAATGAAAAAATTCAAATTGTAAAAGATCATTTAATTAATTTTGCAAATGAAATTTGATAGAATTTGAGAAAATTGTTAAAAATATTTTATATATGTTTTTAGGTTTATTTATTGATTATATGATAAAATTGCTATCTCTAATATCTATTTTATTTCATCTCATTGATAAGTAAGCGTTAAAACAGTTTGCAATCTTGAAGATATAACATATTTTCGATAGTAGACGTGCGAGTAACTTCGTTCAAGTACTTCGTTTAATGGTAAATATCAAATAATAGTATTCTTAAGCATTTCTTGAATAAGTAATTTATACAATGTTTCATTTATACTTCTCAATAGTCATCTTTGTCTTTTTCTTTTTCATTAAATTTATATTATAAAGACCATAACGAGATTTTTTTTACGATAGAATAATGTCTTTAATTTAATATGATTGGAATCGCGAAAAAAAAAGTAAAGCCACTTTTCACAACTTTTTTATATGGTGATAAAATTGATGAAAATTGAAACAGAAGACATTTTGAGATTTTATTTCTATTACATGTGTGCTTAAAATATCATCAAAGTCGATTAACGTTTTTATGAGCTGGAAATGGTTAAAGATGATGAAAATCACAATTTTCGTCGTTTTCACGGATTTCGACGTCTGTCGCTTATTTTCACACCAACTGTCAAGTGTAAACATAAACTGTGCTGTAAAGACAGACAATTTGTTATATTCAGTTTTGCTTATTTCTGTAAATCATATAATATGAATTTGGAAACAAATACTCGACACACATGTTATTCATGCATTTTCTATCCATTGTAAAAAGTTATTAATATATTGTGAATTATTTATTGAAGGGATAAATATTTTCAGAGAAATATAAACAAAAAAAATCACTAGAAAGTACATGTTGATTTTATAATCATTGAGGTATAAATGAAACGATAAAAATCCTAAGAGAAACGTACTTAAAATACAATCGTATTATTTTTACAGATTTATATATATATACATATATACTCATAATCCATGTGTGTATATATGTATGTATATATATAATTATTAACAGAAGATAATCAATATCTTCGGGAGATATATCAATATATCTTCAGGAATTATTCTAAATATTTTCTGAATTCAACTCTTATAAACATTCAAAAATTTGAGGTGGTAATACTGATTCCGTTCAAAGAATAAATTTACAGAGCCCTCTGTAAAATCGACTTTCATTAAACGAAAGCAATTTGCTTGTAAAAAATTCATATATTATTGCTGTTTCATCTTAATTATAATTCAGGTGAGTGGAATAATATGATTATTTAATTTTTTCTTTTTCCATTTGATGAAACTTTTTGTTCCGAGAGATTAATGATAATAAATACCGTACTTAAAGCACTTTATCTAAGATACCACCGAGATTATGATTTTTTTACGTTTGATATATTTTATCACGAGGCTTTTCTAAATTCTTTTTCTCTTTATCTTTTTATCTTTTTATTTATTTTTTTTTATTTATGTTTTTTATAACCATAAGTATCTTTTCTCAGAATCGTCAGATAAAGATTAAGAAAAATAGAAGATTCATAATGTTTTTCCCATTTAATTCGTTGTACGAAGGTTACACACTTCCTCTTGATTTGTTTGTATAATCTATAGTTCTCTTACTCGACTACACAAATATGGGATGTCACTGTACATTACATTCATTTCTCTCTCTCTCTCTCTTTCTATATATATATATATATATATATATATATATATATATATATATATATATATATATATATATAAAATAATGTACACGACCTCCAGATAAATCGGCTTTACATAGCATTCTCCTGGAACTCGATGACACGCACATATATATATATATATATATTATTTGTTTTCCAATTCTTTGAAGTTTCGGTGTTAATAATCTATATATAGTATAAAATAATTAAAAGGAATCCAAGTGACGTCATGATCATGAGAATGATGAATTTCTTTGTTTGCGATATATTAAACTTGTTTGCGTTAAGAATTTAAGACTGGATGATTGCATGGATATTGCGATTGCATTCTATTTTCTCGAATTGATGTGCAATACAAATTGATAGATTGTTTTGAATATATACTTATATTGATAGATGGTAATAAAAAGGGATTTTTCTTTTTTTTTTTTATATTTCACCACCGATTCGATACGACAAATAATCTATGTATATTATCTTGTCAAAAAAGGCACACCTTAATTTCTTAGATTTTTTTTTTATCGAATAAGATTAATTTTATCGAACGTATTATCAAGTTATCCGACTATTGCTTCATGATATCAGCCTAAACACGGTATTTTTTATCTTTCGAGAAAATGATAATCTGTTATTAAAATACATTTGTATGTAGATCCGGCAATAGTTTATCTATCGTAGATTTTATACTTAATAGCTTTAATATAGATTTGGTAAAGAAAATATATCTTACGTAACCAAATAAGTTTATTTTCTTTAGAATGTTGACGTTTATTTTATATTGTCATTTATATTTAACGTTTATAGAAATGTTTTATTTATTTATAGATTTTTTTTTCTTTGTAGATTTAACAGTACTTGAGTTACAGCAAAAACAAAATTAATTACAAGAATGACAAATATCCTCCAACAAAATAACTATTCAAACTGTTTAGAGGAATTTAAGAAACCTGGAAATTTACCACCACCATCACCATTTTTTGTAAAAACAAATTATGAAGTTAATAATTTAGATTATAGGTTTGAATTTGTCAGATTAAAAAGCTTTAAAAAGTGGCCCGTCTCATTTGTAAACCCTAGGACTCTTGCAGCGGCAGGGTTTTATTACGTGGGTGAAAGTGATCGTGTACAATGTTTTGAATGTCAGATAGAATTATATAACTGGGAGCAAGGAGATATTCCTATGGTTGATCATGAACGTTCTTCACCAAGTTGTCGCTTTGTGAGAAATATTCCATGCGGTAACGTACCTATCGATACTGATCCTGCTTTGGTAAATTTACCAAGCCCTCGTAGCCAAGATGTTTGTGGAATATATAATCTAGAAAGTCAATCAAAGTTCGATAAAGAAAGAAATAAGTTAAGATCTTTAGGAATTGAAAGGCCAAAATCACCAGTATATACAAAATATGCCAGCATAGAATCTAGAATAAGGAGCTTTGATACGTGGCCAAAATCTTTCCCACCAGACAAGAACCAATTGGCAGAAGCTGGATTTTTTTATACCGGAAAAGAAGATCAAACAGTATGCTTCCACTGTGGAGGTGGATTAAAAGATTGGAAACCGGAGGATGATCCATGGGACCAACACGCTAAGTGGTTTTCAAAATGTTATTATCTTTTAATGGCTAAAGGAAAAGAGTATGTGAATGCAGCGACGGGACAATGTGTAACATCTTCATCATCATCATCATCATCATCATCATCATCATCCAATGAGGTAATTCAATTTTTGTCTCTTTTGTTTGCTACTATCTTGTTTGCTTTTATATGTACACATGTAGGTACATTATATATGTTTATTTTGACAAAATTTATATTTTACATAGGTAACTTTAGATATCAAACTGCTCCCTTTCATCGAGAACCTTGAGAAACAATCACTAAAGGAAGTATCTAAATCAGAGGAACTTGAGAATAATCCCAAGTCCAAAAACAATGATATAAAAAGTTCGAGTTCTAATCCATCCAACTCTATGACAGAAAAGGAATATGAGAAAGATGGAAGATTATGTAAAATCTGTTTCAATGCAGAAATGAGTATAGTATTTTTACCTTGCAAACATATGGTTTCATGTCTTAATTGCGCATCTATTTTATCTCAATGTCCTATTTGTCGAAAACCAATAGATTTAGTAATAACAGCAATCTTATCTTAAAAAGTATTATCAATATGTATTATACAGTAACTATTAATCAGATAGAAGAACTCATATATAAGAGTATTTCTAATTGTTTATATCTATATATCTATAAAAGAAAAATAATGTGCATTCTTTTATTTTCTTATAAAATATTAAAAATATATTTCATATTTTCTGTAAATAAAATTTTAATACGAATGACGAACTTTATTTGGATTGGATGAAAATAGTAGGAGTTTTTAGAAAATTATACGCACGAGATAAAACATATATTAACGTATTTGGAATCGATAATATACATCTACGTCATTTTAAAACCTTTAATCTAAAGCCGGTAACGTAGTCTTACGCCATTTCAAAATCCTCTAGCTAAGGAGCGCTAACGTCGTCTTATGTCATCTCATCCATTTAAAATGGAAGAATAATCCGTATAAAATCCCGTAGATTTATCGATACAAATATATTTCTTAAAAATTCTTACATTTTGTCACATTGCAAAATCATAACTTAAAAGTTTGAGTATAAGATCGAATCTCAAATCGAATCTCAGATTGAATCTCAAATCGTGAATTTGGTCTCGAAATAATAACAACTCGAATATATTATGTGTTGAGAAACTTTTGGGTTTCCGGCTCTTATCAGAAGATAATTACATCTTTAATGTTACATATTTCAATAAATGGTTAAGTAACATTATCTTTATTTTTTATCAAAGTTCAATCTATCCATCAAAATATTATTATTTATATTAAATCAAGAATCTCTAGTTGAGAGATAAATTTACAGTCGCCAAGATAAATATTATACTATTTTTTTTTTATAACGCGAAATTATTTAATATTACTTTAATAAGATACTTTAATAAGTTATTTGTATCCTTATTATTTAATTAAAAAAAAAAAGAAGAACTCTTTTACTCTCGATTTCTACTTCGATAGATCGTAGCAAGAATCAGTGTCGCCTCCTATCGGTTAATTTTAATGGTTGTATACACGATATATGTATATATATATATATATATATACACTTATAAACGAGCAAAATGATAGAAGTACGATATTAGCAGTATCAAGATAGTGATGTGTATGATTAAAATACGTCAGCTAATAATCTCTCATTTGAATAAATATTCTAATGGATTATATTTCATGTGAATACATATTTAAAGAATTAGAAGCCGATAGTGGAATTGATTAAAATTATAATAATTAAAATAATTCATATATTGTTTTACATAACCAATAAAGAGTTTACTTATATTGCTGTGTAATTATATCAATAATAGGAGTGACTCGAAAAAGAATTTCTTCTGATTTCTTTGCATTTTCATCTTTGTGATATAAATTAATCGTGACAATGTAATAATGGCTGATTTATTTGATATAGCGAATATAATTACAAGCGTAGGCGTTGGTGCCGTCAAAATTAAATCGGAACCGGGCTTGCCGGAAAAATCATCGAATGAAATTTTGACAGAACTTTTCAGTACCTTCGATGCAGACGAGGGAATAGTATCACCAGAGAATAGTGATCAACAAGTTCCAGATGCAATTGTTAAAGCGGAGAAAAAGGAAAAAACACAAATGGAGAAAAGAAAAAAAAAGAGTAAGAAAAAGCATAAACATAAGGAAAAAAAGCATAAAAAAAGATCTAAACACAGTTCTTCGGACAGTAATAATAGTGATGTAGAAAGTACTGGTAAATTATAATTTATATAAATTTTGTTCTTATTATCAATGTTAAGGTTTTAAAAGAATTATATATATGTATGTATAAAATTATGTATTTTTAGTTAGTAAGAAAAAGAAGAAACATAGGAAAAAGTCTAAGCGCAAGCATGAATCACATTCAAGCAAATCATCAGAATCTGATGAACCTAAACCCAAAATTGCAAAGGTTGATACTAATATTTCCCTTACCGAAGAAGAAAATATCAGAGTTGATGTCTCAGATAAAGAGCATATTAATGATGTACAATTGAGAGAAGTAGGATTGATAAAGGAAGAGACTGTATCTACAAACGTATGTACAATCCATGATAAAGAAGATAGAGATTTTGAAAGTCCTAAATTACCACCTATTCCAAAAAAAATAGATGACGAATTTGAAGAATCGGTATTACCAAAAATTCTTGGTTTGTTGATGTTCTTTTTTCTACCTAATATCTTATAATATGGATAGTTCATAGTTATATGTATGATAATATTTTATCTTTTTATCTATAGATAAACCAAAACAGTCTGTGCAAGGAAAAATCATTATAAAGGATCTTAAAAATAGTATTGTTTATAATGAAACTGTAAAGGAAATAGAGAATAAGGAAAAGGCAAAAGCTGCGCGTATGGAGGATGGTGAATTAACAGACAGCAGTAATAATAATAGAACACCAACATTAAGTCCTACACCACCACCGTGTAATTCATTTAGATCTCCCACATTGAGTCCTGATGATACGCTTAAATCTGAATTGTCAGGTCCCTTGAAATCTAGGAATGATCTTAGATTAATTTTAAGGGAAAAAGAAAAGAAAAGACTGGAAGTAACAGGGAAATCAAGAAATTACAGTGATAAGGATCGCAAGGATATGAAAATATATAATAAAGTTAAAAACAAAAATAGCAAACGTAGTCGAAGTTGCCATTCACAAGAAAGAAATAGATCAGATTCTCAAACACGTTCCCATCGTAGTAGGAGTAGAGACAGAGATAAACATTCTGATAGAAATAAGGAAAGACGTGATAGAGATAGAAGCTTTGAACGACGAGATTTAGGAAGAAGTAGGGAAAGGAAGAGGCACAAAAGTCGTAGTAGAGACAGGAGTAGGGAGAAGTATATACGGGGACGAAGTAGGAGCAAAGAAAGAAAGTTAGTATTTTAATTATTATATGAATCATATATTCTTGTCAATCATATGTCTTGAAAAAATATTTTTCTTTTTACTAGAGAGCGTATCGAAATTGACAAAAAAAAGCTTCTGGATGAACTTACAGGTTTATATTTTTATTAAAGAAATATTTTTATTCTCAATATTTTGCTTCCCCCTTGACAAAGGAAATTCTACACACACCTTTTATTGCTTATAGATTTTTGTAAATCATTGTCAAAATCTGAAGCATTAGGAGAATTATCTAATCTCTCTTCTGAAGAAGATGGAAGCGAGTCTGAAAAAGGTTTTCATCATCCATTTCTTCTCAAAGAAAGGCCAAGTCCTATCGTTATGAATATCCGAGTATGTCTTATTTATAAAATCCTAAAATCTAAAAAAAGTTTTCAATTAATGGCATAGATTTGTAAATATTATTTCATTTTATGTTAATTTTATTTTTTGCTTTTAGAATGCAAAGCAATTGCCAACAAAAACGTTTCAAGAAAAGACAGCCGAATCTTCGAATCAATTGCGTCTACAGTTTCCTGTATCTAGTGGTCAGCATCATAGAAAAACTGGTGAGTTTACTAAATGTTGTTCCTATTGTTCTTCAAATAACAATCATGATCTTCACCAATACTCTAATATTATTATCGTTCTTTTTAAAAATTAATAAAGAAAGCGAATGGATCCCTGTGACACCAAAAAAACCAGAACAAAAGAAACCATTTGTACCAGCATCTGTATCAACTGAACCAATAGTGCCTAAGCCATGTTCCGTACAATCAATACAATCTATACAGCCAGTAGTTTTTCCACGAACATCTATGGCAGGAGTATTAAATTTTTTTATACTTGGAAAAAAAAAAAAAGAAAAAAATAAAAAGAAAAGAAACAAAAATTAATTACTCTTTTCTATTTTACAAATTGTATTACTTTTGATTTCTTTATTATTGCAGTCAGTTGACATTGGATCCATAGTGTCACAGAGATTAGCTGCAATGAGAAAGCTGAGAGAAAATCCGAACGATGTTGGTGCTTTAAATGAAATGTATAGAGCACAAAATGAGGTATTCAATATTTTTTCCATTGATTTCGAGTATCAGCTACGTATATGTGCATATCATCTCTATACGAATTTTTACGTTTTACATTTTTCTCCCCTTTATATAGATGAGGACCTGGGCAGAAAGTAAACAAATGCCAGGCCAGTTTACTGGTAGTACAGGTGCCAAAGTGCTCTCACCTGCTGAGCTTACCTCAGGTTATCAAGCATGGGCTCATAAGGTAACTGTATTGTAGTAACTAGGGCTCGTATTGTATGAGTGTATGATACACATTTTGTTTCTTACATAAGATACAACATATGGGCCTTTATTATAATTCTTTTTTTATCCTTTTATATTAAAAATGTAACATGCCCATAGGATGAATCTTGCTAGATTAAGTAAATTTTTCTTCTTCTGATAATAGCAAATCTAAGTAATAGAAGACTAAATTGAAAACTTGGCTACATATGATTTCAAATATTGGAGAACTTTCTTTATTATATCATATCAGTCATCATATCATACATAGGGCTTGTTACTTTTTTACTTATACACTGATTGATATTGCCTGTAACAAGTTTTCAGGTACAGTCTTAGCTAAGATCAATAAAGTAAGTCATTATTGATCTGATGACTGTGATGTAGGCACAGACCACTTCTTAAGTAGGGGTGGACTCTGTGTCTGCAGGAACACAAGAGAATCATTATTTCTCTAAATATTTTAATAGGTAAATAAAAAAAAAAAAAAAAAAGGAAAGAGAGAGAGAGAGAGAGAGAGAGAGAAAATCTTTCCAAATAATAAATATAAGAAAAGTTGTGCGATTATTAATAGTTACTTCGACTTGTGATCTCTTGTGAGATTATTGCTAACTATCATCAGCTTTATACCATAGGATCCAGAAACTTTAATCATTTTGTTTTAACGATAAAGCTGCGATATTTAGCATTAGTCTGCATCCACCTGAGGGTTTGTTACAGGCACATAGCTACCTCACAGAAGACATAACGTCAGCAGCCTGATGTCCGATTTTTAATTTTATTGGTAAGTATGCTTGCCCAAAAAAAGTTATAAAATTTAGGATTAAATAATAAGTAAAAATATTGTTTAATAAAAAACATTGATGTGAATATTTACATGTATATACACGTATTCTAATTATTTTTAATTATATTGAGCTACAGACATATAAAGGTTTGGTCATGGTTGGGTATAACACACACAATTGATTTTTTTATTGATTTTACATTCATTTTGAGAATAACGAATTATTATAAAAAATCATATTACTCTGTGAGCTTAAAAAGATATATATTAATGTATATTCAAAATTGATTTACTTATCTTCTTATTAATTATGATACTTAAGTGTTTCACAAAAGAAATTATTTAGGATCAATTAGTGTCTGCACAACCTGTATCTGGTGGTATGGGAATGGCTTTATTACAAAAGATGGGATGGCGACCAGGTGAGGGTTTGGGTAAAAATAAGGAAGGTACATTGGAACCATTACAGCTAGAAGTGAAATTAGATAAAAGGGGTCTTATTTCGGAACAAGACATTGGACAAAAGACAAATAAAACGGCAAAACCGGTAGTACCGGCTATTAAAACGTTAGAAGGTATAAAAATGATTTTTCATATATTATAATATTTATAATTTAAATATTTCATGATAATCGGTAATTGTATAAAGGAAAGCATCCAGTATCACTACTTGGAGAGTATTGTTCAAAAAGAAAACTTGGTGCTCCTGTCTACGAATTATGCTTCGAGTGTGGGCCAGATCATAGAAAAAACTTTCTCTTTAAAGTATGTCTTATATATTTTCTATTTGACAATTGTTGTCAATAAATTTTCATAATTATATAAGTGTGCCATTATATTTCTACAGGTAAAAGTAAATGGTATTGAATATAAACCAAGCGTTGCTAGTCCTAACAAGAAGCAAGCTAAAGCAGAAGCTGCACAAATATGTTTACAAACTTTGGGTTTGTTATCTTCTTAGATTATTTTCATTCGATATTGCACATTGTATAAATTATTTAATCTAATGTAAACTTACATTAAACTATACAATTTATTCAATGTATATGTGTTTTGTAATTCATCTTCTTCTAATTACAACTTACACATCATTATAACTTTTTTCTAATGATCTCTTTTCCAAATATTATGAAACATGTATATTGTACGAAATGAAATCTTAAAATCTATAATCTAAATGCTAAATACACATATTTTTAAATTTGGCTCGTATAGAAATGGTTAAGAAATAATTATTGTAGATTGCTCTACAGGGACATTACTCAATCTAGAAAGAATCATCTTTCTTGAATTTTTAAAAAAAGTTTCAAAAAATTTTTTTTTTGTGCATAAACCATTCTCAATATATACTATTCTTTAATATCTTTTTTTTTCAAAGAAAATAAAGCTCTTTAGGTATGTCCTAAATTAAATGAGACTTTGTTCATCAAAATCTTCTATCGAGAATTACGCATGATCTTACGAATAGCGTAAATCATTATAAAACCAAGGGTAGTGAACAGCTTTAAATTCGTTTTAACTATTCGTATTAAGTTTAAGTAGAAATAGAAAATATAAAAAATTCTTTTCAATTAATCTATTCTTCAGAGAAGTGTATAATCTGACGTATGATTTTTTTTTGCTTTTGTCATACAATATATACTATACTATTTGTACTATATATCAAACATTTCTATTATAAACTAACAAGATTGTTAGATTTTGCGTGAAAGTAATATATTGCAATATGGGAAAGTTCGTACACGATGCTATAAACGGACAATATGAAGAGTTTGTTGCGTTTGTAGTTCATATTTTGTCCATATCTGTCGCTGAAGTCGCATACGTTAAAAACGAAAAGTGATGAACGGGTTTTTATTATTCTAAAATTGACTATAAATTATCGTATGTGATGATTTTGCGAAAATTTATTATAGATGGATGATCTTGTGAAATTTAATATTAAAGAGGTTAAGTGTGACTTGTTACCCGCCATAAATGAATGTACTCAACGTGGTTTATTACATACTACAAAATGGTATACAAAATGATTGTTGGATTGTATTTTAAGAAAAAAAAAAAAAGTCAGTATAATCATCCCTTAACATTTTAGGCTGGCGGAATTGAATTATTCTTTGAAAGATGTCAAATTAGATCTACACGATGTGACCACGGATGATATTGGTTTGACGGAATCGAGTGAGGAAGATGACACGTATATCTTAGCTAAAACTTATTTCGATTTAAAAGAGTACGATCGGGCAGCCTATTTTACAGAAAAATGTACAACTTCGAAAGCCAGGTTTTTGTATTTGTATTCTCGTTACTTATCAGGAGAAAAAAAGAAAATAGATGACATGACGGATATACCACCAGACCCTATGAGAAATGACAGTTTAAAATTACTCTGTGCTGATTTAAGAAAAGATCATTTGGCCGGAAAATTAGACGGCTTTTGTTTATATTTATTTGGGGTGACTCTGAAAAAACTCCAGCTTACCAGAGAGGCAACCGAAGTTTTGGTTGAATCGACTCACAAGCAGCCGATGCACTGGGGTACTTGGTTGGAACTAGCTGCATTAATTACGGATAGGGAAAAATTAGAAAGTTTACGACTTCCAAATCACTGGATGAAACATTTCTTTATGGCTCACATGTATTTAGAGTTACAACTTATTGACGAAGGTTTAGCTATGTATTGCGAATTACAGTCAATGGGTTTTGAAAAGAATGCATACGTACTTGCTCAAACTGCTATTGCCGTTCATTACAGGAGAGGTAACTTTATTTCTTATTTTTCTTTTTTTTTTTTATTTTACATTTGAGTAATATTAAGTTCCAATATTATATAATAATATTCCTTTATTCTCTATATATTTTCAGATGTTGATAATGCTATAAAAACATTTAAACACATAATAAAAGAAGATCCATATTGTCTCGATAATATGGATACATATTCAAATTTGCTTTATGTAAAAGAAATGAAAGTAGAATTAGCATATTTAGCTCATAGAGCCACAGAAATAGATAAATATCGATTGGAAACGTGTTGTATAGTGGGTAAGTAATAATATCTACTAGAATTTTGAATAAATTAATCTTACTTCTTTTGACATTGGAAAATACGTTACATAGTCTCATTTATTTCCAGGAAATTATTACAGTTTAAGAGCAGATCATCAAAAGGCAGTGATGTATTTCCATAGAGCATTGAAACTTAATCCACAGTACCTATCTGCTTGGACGTTACTCGGCCATGAATTTATGGAGATGAAAAATACTAATGGTGCGATTCATAGTTATCGCCAAGCCATCGGTACGTTTTATAGATATGACATCATTTTATTAGGTCCCTCATGACGTTAATTATTGGATGAATTTATTTTGTATTTTATATAGAAGTTAATAGAAGGGATTATAGAGCATGGTATGGTTTGGGTCAAACTTATGAAATTTTGAAGATGCCTTCTTACGGTTTGTATTATTACAAACAGGCACAACTTTTGAGACCTCATGATAGTCGAATGGTTCTTGCATTGGGCGAGGCATATGAAAAACAAGATAAAATTCAAGATGCGCTCAAGTGTTATTACAAAGCGTGTAATGTAGGGGATATCGAGGGAGTCGCTTTGATAAAGTTAGCCAAGTATGTATTACTTATCCCTTTTTTTTCTTTTTTTTTTTTGTTTTTTGTTTTAGAATAACTTTTTTCTCGAAATTATTTCTAATTTTAGCCTTTATGAAAAGTTGGGTGAACACGATCATGCGGCTGCAGCTTATACAGATTTTGTAATGGACGAATTTAGAAATGCTGATAGAACCGAATTGAGTCACGCTTACAAGTATCTAACGCAATATCATCTGAAACGAGAACAATTGGATCGGGCAAACCATTATGCACAGAAATGTCTTCAATTCGATGAAACTAAAGAAGAAGCTAAGGGACTTTTAAGAACGATTGCACAGAAAAGAGCGAAAGTTGAAGAGAGTTCAATGGTGGTAAGGATAAATATTATTTCAACGATTTTATTTTATAATCGTGTTGTTAAACGAGTATAGCTTAAAATTCCTTTTCTCACATCTTTATAGGTAGAAGACATGAATGAGACGGATCCGGTAATCGAACAAGGCGCTAGGACCGATGCTACACCGGGAAATCAATTGTCACCAATGAATTTATCCTTCACACCTACTCCATAGTAACAAAAACTAAAATAATTATTTTCACGTTTTCATAAAATTTTTTGATCGTTGTTATATCATAAATTTCTTTCATACCTTTTCTTTTTTTTTTTTTTTTTTTTTTTTCTTAAGCAATTGTCAATGATATTTTTTCACGCATATATATATTTTTTTTAGGTTTTTCAGTTTCAAGCCGAATAATTTCCATCGTCTTCCCATGTTTTTCCATCCTGTTAGATCATCCCTAATCTCATTATAGCAAGCCAGTATAGTTCCTATGATTCTCGTTATCTCTATGTTTCTTCAACTATCAAGGAGGAAAAGCTTATTCTAAAACTGGTCATGCAGGAAGATGGAGGTAGATATAAAGAATTCCTCAGGCGAATCATTTGCTTTTTGTTCATCGAATTTTTCTATTGATTATTTGATAGTTGGAAATCTTTACATTATTGACAATGGATATTTTCCAAATCTTCAGGCCACGATCTATTCTCAAAGTTTCAGAAATTGTTATTTCTCCCATCTTTCACAGTTTTTTTTTCTCTCCGATCGTTTCTTTCCCAACATTTTATTTGTATCTCATATCTTTCATGAATAGGTAAACTTTTCATTGCGAATATACAACGATCCAATAAATCTTAGTGGAAGCATGTTTTTTTTGTGTCATCAAGTGTGAAGGAATTATTATTCGCATTGTTGAACGATGATTGTGCCGAGGCCGGTATGGCTTTACAATAAAACTTTGACGTTTCTCTCTTTTCTTGTTGCAGTGATGATCGGATTACCAGGGAAGAATTATTGTTGGCACTCGTTGTAGTGCTCGTTTTCCGAAAATAGACATTAATTCTAAATTAGAAAAATGTTTAAATTAATATATAGAATGTGTCTCGTAGCTTCGGGGATCGGCGGTAAATTTTGTGCATGAAAACAACAACAACAAAAATTCATCATTCGCGAGAATATTAAATAAGGTTTTCGAAAAATCCGAATAATACTTAGAGAAAACTTAGAGAAAAGGAGAAATTTGCTATAACTCGAAAAAAATGTTAAATGAGGCATATGTTTACAGGAACTTTTTGTATTATTTTAGTATACAGAATTCACCGCTGAAGCAATTTCCCGAAGCTAAGGGATAACTTGTATTTAAATGGATTAGAATTTTGTTTACTTACAAAGGGTGCTTCGATCACTGGGCGCCTGAGATTTTTTCGAGAAATAGCTTTTTTCTGAATACTTTGTTCACTTTGCATCGACATTACTGTTTGCGTTTTCTTTTTTTTTTTTTTTTTCATTAAAATCAGTTGTGCGCGCGTTAGAGTAAAAAAAGTAAAGTAAAAACGCGTATTCGGTGTTAAGACAAATAAGAAATAGCAAGAAATATCTTCGTGCATTCCTTATGTAGTAGTACTACATCATACTGCTACTTGTTAAGGGAAGAATTTTGAATAAAGAATCTTCTATAATAAACATATCCTTCGATTTTGAGAAGGAATGAATATAATTCGGAATAACCGGATATATTATAAATCTTAGAAAGACTTTTTTTATACAACACTTGTACGCTATAAATTATCTTTGGATCAATTATCTTCGAATGTTGCATTTTTATTTCTATTTGGATTTCTTCCAAAAAAAATTTCATGCATAATATCGTCATTTTAGTTGCATTAATGGTGCACTTTTAAGTTGCACTTGTAAATTATCAAGAGAATTTCTCTTTTCATAATACATTATTGAAGTATTATTTTATAAGTGGGATGTTTGCATTTATGTTATATAGTTATAAATTATGCTTAACTATACTTAATTGATAAAATGAAATGAAACTTAAAAAGTATATAAGTTGGAACACTATAAAAGAAAAATTCGTTGAACCGTTTGACTTTCATTATGCGCCATTAATGTACCTAATGTATGACAATAACATCTGTTTTATATTATTTATTGCTTATTCCTTTAATAAATTTTTAAATATTACTATCGAAAAATGTTGAAAAATATGTAATTGGCTTTCGGCATTTAAGTTCTACATACATAATAGAATACAGGAAATGTTTATGAATTATATCTTTTTTTTTATTTTGTTTCTTCATACTTGTCCTTTTGTTTCATTTCTACGTTTGTTCTTTTCGTTTGTACAAAATGAAAAACAACTAGAGCCACACCTTATATCCATAGACTAATATAATATGTAATATAAAAAAAGAAACGCATTGCTGTTAAGCTCACATTATCCTTCTTGATTACTATACCACCTTTGATATATTTCATTTAATATAATAATTAAATTATCTGAATAAAATAATATAATTTATAACCCGTAAATTATTTGAGAAATTTTACTTCGAAATGCTTCGTTGGAATACGTTCGATAAACGTACGCGTTCAAAGTTCGCGTGATGATGATTATCATCGATCCGTTTTTCGTTCCAGTCGCGTAGTCGTTGAGCTTCAACCAACGATGGCAAACGAACAATGTTTCTTTTTTTCTTTTTCACATCGACAGACTTTTATACAGAGTTCAATTTAATTTATTGCAAATTTAATGTACATATTATTTCTCCGAATATAATATATTTTGTTATATATATATATTTTTTTTTTTTAACCCGAATTTTGATGAATAATGTTTCTTTAAGAGTAAATGTAATTTTTCCTCTTCTTTCTTTCGCGTAGCCACGCGTTGAACGCGAAGCAAGGTGGAATCTTAACGATTATGGAACTCTGTTATAGGCATGGACGCACGCAAGCATGCACCGCACGCGAGCCAGTATGCGGCAAGCACACAGCACGGAGGCAACCAGGTAGCACGCACGCATGCACGCACGCATGCACGCACGCCGCACGCACGCACGCACGCACGACGTACGTATGCATGCATGCATGCATGCATGCATGCACGCACGCACTCGCTCACGCAAGACTTTTGCTCGATCTTGCTCAGTCAGACTCTTCGAAGAAAAATATATTCTTATAAATTGGTAAACGAGCGTAACGAATAATGAAAACGATCGATAACGACGAAACGAACGATATGTGGTATTTTGTAAGAGATCGAGAAAATAATTTGATTTATTCGATCAGGCAATAGATCTATTTTAATTCTTTCATTTGATTCTATTTTAAAGCGAAAAATACGAGGAATGTGTGTATGGTCGATGAGATAGATAGATAGAGAGAGAGAGAGAGAGAGAGAGAGAGAGAGAGAGAGAGAAAGGCTCCGGGAGTTTTGAATTTGGCGCGGTTCCGTTAGTCGCACGGCAGCCATATTGACTGTATACTCCCGAGCAACTTGGACGATGTTTGTGCGTACCTGGCACGATCGCTGCTCTCTCGCGTTCGCCGTTTTATTCGCCGTGTAAACGCTTTGGTATCAAGCGTCACTCGATCGGCCGGTCGTTCGAACGCTTTTCGATTTAGTTTATTTCTTTTGACATGTCAAGCCAAATATGCTTAAAGTGGAACAGCTTCCTGAACAATATCGCGACGAGCTTCGAGAGTCTTTGGGAGGAAGAAGGCCTGGTGGACGTGACACTCGCGAGTGACGGACAGTGTCTCACAGCCCACAAAGTGATACTTTCTGCCAGTAGTCCTTTCTTCAAGAAAGTCTTCCAGGTAAAAGATCTTTATTGATTTTTCAAGATTTAATATGAGTTAAGAAAAAATCCTTCTTTCGTCATTCTCCTTTCCTTCCCATTGCCTCGATCAATTCTATTTACCTTTTTCCTTGTCAATCACTTTAAACGTTTGACAGCTGCCATTCGTATTTCCTGATGCTTTTGAAGGAAAATTACTTATTACCTTTTCGAAATTACTTATTACTTATTCTCTCTTCGAAACGTTGCTTTCTCGAATTTTCTCTGTAGTGATAATAAATATTTAATTTTCAAGTATAACCTTTTGTTTGTTTCTTTCTTTTTTTTTTTTTTATAGGCTAATCCATGCCAGCATCCAGTCATAATATTGCAAGATGTACGTTTTAGCGAACTCGAGGCATTACTCATATTTATATATAAAGGAGAGGTTAATATCGAACAGAAAAATTTGCCTGCTTTGTTGAAAGCAGCTGAAACGTTGCAAATACGTGGCTTGTCGGGAGGAGATATTTTTGCTAAGGATCAGTATAAGAGGTTGGCAGAATTGGAACAGGCTGTAGCCGACGAGGATATACCTGTTGTTAAGGAAGAAGCACCTAAAAAGAAACAAAAAGTTTGTAAACAACATAACAATTCCATTTTGGAGAAGGCTTTAACTCCAAGAATATCGCAATCTGAGAATACCAGTGAATCGAATGAAAGCGAACAAAGTGGGAAGGACACTGATCATGGGTCATCCGATGCATTGTCCAATCCTGTGTTTCATCGTTTAGAAATGAAAGTTAGTTTATTTGCCATGCACGTTTGATAATATCTATGACAGTTAATGTATAGAATAAGATTAAGAAATAAATTAAAATATTATAGATAGAACCATTGGAGATGATGCCCGAAGACTTACAAAAACGAACATCAACGGATAAAGATCCAGTGGAAAGACTGGACACTGGGCAAGTGGACGGTATGCAAGGTCAGTTAACAAAATATTTACTCACTTCACATTTGTACATCTATACTTGTATATTTGCATATAATTCTTTTTCTTCTACTTGTTTCAAGTTATTATTTTTATATTATTATTTTCCTTACGTGTTGTACGTCTGACAGATAAATTCATTTATGCATTCTACACAAAAGATTTCCTTTTCTTAAACTTGTAAGTTGGATCATTTATTATTATTAGATATTGGCGATGTTTTAGACATCGAATTAAAGCCAGGAATGATATCTAGTCACTATAGTTCGTATTTTTATGTCTTATCGATTATTCGTAGAGAAAGAAAATACGGGTTCAAAAGCGCATTACATATTCTTTTTATTTTCTTTCTTTCTTTTTCTTTTTCTTTCTTTTTTTTTCGTTTTTTTTTCTTTTTTTTTTTTTACACCTCCTGCGTTTTTGTCATTTGCATAATCGGAATTTCTTTCTTGGTACAATAAATCGGGATGTGAAATTAACGTAACGAAATATTTACTCGTGCAGTTTTCAACTTGTACTTTAGGAAATATGTACAGTTTTAATACGTAGAACTCGGAAGTGCAGAGAAACATTGAAAGCTTTATAAATGATTTTGCGAAATTCAATAACTTTCCACGATATAAGCGATACTCGCTATATTTATTTATTTATTACGCGTACTTGAGAACATTCGAATCGTCTACCGGCAGCTATTAGGTACCAAAGGCATTTTCTTTGGTACCAAATTTGATGCTCGCCAGAATTTTTAGTTTTGCTTTTATCGTAATTTTTGTTTCGCTCGATTGGCGATTCGCATTTATTTTTCGTTGTTACGCCATGAGGATGTTGAGAAAAAGAAGGAACGAGAGAGCGCACGAATGAGAGAAAGGGCGATTGCGTGTTGAAGGAGTGAGAGGGAGAAAGAAAGTGTCGTGTATATCGGTAGATGCACGAGGTGATGCGTGCATGGAGGAGAGAAAGAGAGCGAAAGAGTAAGGTGAAAGGGCAATTGTACGAGAGCTGGATAAGATGTCGTTAAAGGAGATAGAAAAGATAGTTATTTTCTTGAAATGATGTGCCTGCTATATAATCAACGTATTACATCGTACAGAAAACATTAGAAGCCGATTCTATCCAGCTCTGCGTAAGTACGCGCGTGCGATCGATCGTTTCACCGATCACGATTCTTGACTCCTCTTTTACGTACGATCCCGATCCAGATATCCAAATATCCAAGAAATATCGTGTGAAACGAAAGTCGAATGTACGCGCTTATACATGTTTGTTTGTTTGTTTGTTTGTTTGTTTGTTTGTTTGTGCGTGCGTGCCTGCGTGCGTAAGCGCGCGTCTCTGTAAGCGTGTCGTTTGCGGGGAGAGCCGTGTCTAAAGCGCGCTGTGCTGATGTGTGTGGCAGGGTCTGGGAACAGTCCTGCTGAAGACATTTCCGGTATATCTGGATTATCCGGCCTAACTGGATTCTCGGACGTGAAGCCGCTGCTTTACTCGTATCAGCAACTACCTTACGCCGATCTACTACCGAGCCCGGACATTATCTCAACGTGGGCGTCCTCTCGTCCGATGGATCATCTAGCTTGCGATCTCATGAAGATTCTCTTTACTCCTGAAGAGAGGATACTCTGCAACGTCAATGGTAAAATGGGAAAGCAGCAATTCGATAGCAACAAGATACACCTGATAAGGGAGGTTTTGCTTCACTTTAGCGGCATCGCGCCAAACAGCATTGAGTGGGAGGAAGTTTGGAAGAATTGCGTAACAAAGATCGACACTAGTAATAGGGGCTTGAAAAGGTATCTCTTTCAGAGGCGTTCCGTTTACACGCAATGACTAGGGCGTTTCAAGTCAGGGGTCAAACGGAAACGTTTCCACTGGCTGGAATAGGCCGTTTTCGATCTGCCGTCGCCCCATAATTCGCCCCCCCCCTCTTCCCCATTTCGACCTCAACTTCCTCCCCGTTTTTTCGCTTCTAGCTTTGTCGTATTCTCGATTGAAATCCACGATAGAACGAAGCGCGCGAAAACGGCTGCGACGAAGGAGGCTAGGATTTTGATTCGAGCAATCAAATATTAGACGCGTAAATGTTGAATAGAGAATTGGCGATAGATTCGTCATGAATAGAAATCGTTCGGGGTGACAGGTTAAACGTTAGAAAAAGGAAGAAGGTGATCGCGAATCACTCATTCTCTTCTCCTGCTTCTTAGGTTTACGTGTTTATCCTCCTACAGGCGAGGAGACATCGATCGTTCTTGACTTTTTTTTTCTCTTTTTATTTCTTTTTTTTTTCTTTTCTTTTTTTTTTCTTTTTTTTTTTTTTTTTTTTTTTCTTTTTTTTTTCTATCATTATTACTCTAGCATCGTGTACGAACCCTTTGTTTTCCTATCGTGCGGCCGCGTTACACGACATTCCTTCTTCTTAATCTATTTATTTATACGGTGTTCACGCAATCGCAAGTACGCACTATCGCCGTAGACGGCGCACGATATCAAACTCGGTTTAGCTCGCAGGCACGCGAGGATGCATCGCGGAGACGAAACGAGTACGTCGCCGCGACACACAAATGCAAGGCGCGCACGCACACACGGCTAAGGTAGATAGATAGAGAGAGAGAGAGAGAGAGAGAGAGAGAGAGAGAGAGAGAGAGAGAGAGTGAGAGAGAGAGAGAGAGAGAGAGAGAGAGAGAGAGAGAAACACTAACGACACGAGACGCGCGCGCGTGAGCAAGCGTGCCGGCCGTGCTAGAGACGCGTGCGTGATCGTGTCGCGCACGGCGACATTATCGGCTATTTTACCGTGTATACTTAAACAAGGAAAAGAACTCGTAGCTCTTACGATGAGACTAGTAATTTAAGACATGCTTGTAGAATATTTAAAAGCGGAAAGCGCGTCGTTATGGCGCCCAACTATTAGGGTACGTACATACATAGACGATAGGTCCGCTCGTTGGTTCGTTCCTTTTTTCATTTTATTTATCTAACGGCCTTGATCACTTTTTCCTCCTTTTCCTTTCCTTTCCTTTCCTTTATCTTATTTTTTGGACGGATTCGTTTACGAGATCAGATCTGTAATAGACCGATAATAAAGTTTGATATGAATGTACGGACGAACCGTCGAACGTACCGATCGTTATTTAAAGCGATATTATTGTAGACAAGACACACGATTGGTCGCAAATAAACCTATTTTACATTTTTAGCGGTTTACTTCTTCTCCGAATTATATTCCGTCCTTTTTATCGTATCCCGTCTATTTCATTTATTTCCGAAAGGATAAAACGCAGTGCTCGATCCGGACGAACGTCAAAGACGAGGAGTGAATGACTGGGAGGGAAAAGCTAAGCGATATGATTTCAATCGTCTACGGCGATTAATTGTAGGGTCTTCGAAGCCGGCCGTGACGATAATCGCGGAAGCACAGGAAAGTTCGAGTTTTCGAGTCTCCGAAAGAATTCCGGAGGAGAGTCGAGGTCGGAAAGGTTCAAAGGATGGAAAGGACGGATCTCCTTGGTCGACCGTACAAAATCAAGGAGAATCTGGGCTCCTCGAGTTGGAACGTCCTCCCAAGGAAGAAGCGACGACAGAAGCAACAACAGAAACGACGACAGATTCCTCCTCGTGCTTTTCGTTGGAGCACGTCGCTGGTGGAGGATCCCGTTCGAGTTTCTCTCCTGCCTTCCCTTCGTCCAGTGGTTCGGAGTTTTCAGAGGAGACCGTCAAAGGAGGTCCCGCATATCCGCCTTTTCCCTGTCCCTTTTGCGATCGTGCCTACACCAGCTGGGGCTTTCGAAGAAGACACATCAAAGCCGTTCATACTGTATCGCCATCCCTTCATTGCAAGTGGTGTTTACAGGTTCGTTCGTTATCGTTCGTTGTGTTGAAAAAAGAAAAAAAAAGAAAAAAAAGAAAAAAAAAAAAAAGAAAAGAAAACAAATGCCAAGACGACCGAGATCGAGTTTAACGATCTTACACTTATATTCCTTCCTTTTTCCTTTAGGTTTTACCTACGCATGCCGCTTGGAGACGGCACGTTATATCCGCGCACAACCTGTCCGCGAATGACGCCCACAACGGTCTATTGATCTTAGAAGAGGCGCATATGGTCCTGCAGATAGCTCGACCAACAAGATTGGATACCCTGGTGAACATTATCAAGCAAAGTTCCCAACAAAACGATAATTCTCAGCTTGAGAAAGATTGAAACTTTTCTTTCAAGGATTCTACCTACACGTTTCTATTGACATGCAGCTGCAGATAGAAGAGTAGAAAAAACTCATAAACGAAGCAGCTCACCTTTATAAATCACCGTTACCGTTCCTTCCTACAATGCTGTTTGTCACAATTAGCGACTTAATGATCCAGGTATATAAGTTCTTTTCATTTCTCTAAATTTTTGTGCAAACGAGTATATATCCCTTTTATTTAGGAACAAAAAAATCTTTTCTGTGCCGAATATGGGATTTCTCTAATTATCGTATCGTTAAGATGCCAACAAAATTAGCTTTAATGCCATTGTAAACGTGGTTATTCCTTCCTCGTATTTATTGCACTATATTTAGGAAATTATAGCGACAACATCTCTTTATCTCGCTCTCTGTCTCTCTCTCTCTCTCTCTCTCTCTCTCTCTCTCTCTCTCTCTCTCTCTCTCTCTCTCTCTCTCTCTCTCTCTCTCTCTCTCTCTCTCTCTCTCTCTCTCTCTCTCTCTCTCTCTCTCTCTCTCTCTCTCTCTCTCTCTCTCTCTCTCTCTCTCTCTCTCTCTCTCTCTTCCGGTAACCATTATCACGTATAACATCCTAAACGTAATTTTATTTTAATTATACAGATTTTATAATAAATTTATATTTTATTTAACATAGGTGATCTTGTAAAAGGGTTACGATAGTGGGACTCATACGTAGTTTTCTTTTTTTATTTTTTTTATATGTTTTAAATCGTTTATTTATTTTTATATTTTATTTTATTTTATTTATTTTTTTTTTTTTTTATAATAATTGTACATTATCCGTATCTTATTACTGCTTATATTTTGTTGCAAGCGATACTTGTATAGTCGATAAGATTAATCATAGCTCATATAAATTGCTATAATTTATCGAGGAATTGCGCTCGAATGTGGGACGTATGAAGTGCGCTTTTTTTCGTGGCTTCGTGCAATCAGTCCCGTTGACAAATCAAAATATGCGTCTCGTTAGATATTTTCGGAGATCGCGGAAAAGGAGACAAATACATTCCTTAAGTTACGTGAGAGAATGAGACATGCGAGACACACAATGTGCCATTATCCATTAGATTATGAAGGAATTTAGTGATGAAGGAAACGCAATCGGAAATTGGAAAATTTTATCGAAATATATTCTCTTCTTACCATATGCCGTGTCGCTAATCACTCAGAACGTATTCAGACACTGAGAGGCGCTTTGTTTCAAAGGAAATATTGTACGTCGGACAGAAGATATTTTCGATCTTCTAGGGAAAATCTATGTAGCTCATTTCAAGATATTCGTAACAACTATGACATCGAAAAATTGTGACTATTGTTTTATCAAAAAGTTTCAGTAAAATATACATATGTACAAGAATATATTCTAAGTAATTAGCGACGCGTTTTCTTTCTATCTCTCTCTTTTTCTCTTTCTCTCTCCTCTATCCCTCTCTCTCTCTGTCTCTCTCTCTCTCTCTCTCTCTCTCTCTTTCTCTCATAAATTTAGAGTTCGGAAACGTAGCCTTCGACGACGATTCCAGGAGCTAGTTCGGTAGTAACGCTCTCGGAGACGTCGCCGGCATCGTTGCGATCTCCACCAGCAGACCAGGCGCCTTCTCTACCGTATTTCTCCGACATTCTTATCATTTCGTTGGGACTCCACTCGGAGGAGTCTCTCCGGCTTCCGCCGCTTCTGTAAACGACGTTGGATTCGTAGTGTTCCTCACGACTGATCGGACGTCCGTATGGAGAGGGCGAAGGAGCGTAACTATCATAGACGGCGGTACGTTTCATCGAGGCACGTTGATGCGGAGTTTTCCTTAGCATCGCCTGTGCGAAAGACCGTCAATCGTATCGATGAATATTTCTATTATCTACACGTAATTCGAGCTATCTCTCATTTTCGTTTACCTGAAAATTGAATGGTGGTTGATCCTCGCCGTCGTCGTTGCTGTGCTTACGGCCCAGCATTTGCAGCTCATGTATCGGATTCACACTAAAAAATATAGTTATCACGTAGGTTGATGTAGGTATCGAGTCAACGGATAATTGACAAGTTACGAACGAACCGATTGCTTGCGACGGCGCTGGTATTCCGATTAACTTTGTCATCGAATTCCCAATCGTTTCCGCTGTCGAAATTATTTCTAGCTCGAGCCTCCAAGTTGTGAACGTCGTAGCTGCGACTCGGCGGGACTGGTGACACTTGGCCGAATGGCGGAATAGGAGGAGGCGGTGCATTCTTCTTAGAGCGTATTGACCCAGTATTCTCGTAATTATTCTAATTACGGTATATTCAATGCTGAGATAATAATAAAATTATTACGCGAGAATAGAATCAATGTGGAACTTACTGAGTGAGGATTATGAGCGTTAGAAGATCGTGCAGGACTATGGTCGATCGCGGGTAGCTGGGATCCGACATTGTCGGCTTTGGCCCGGTTCGAATCTTCCGGTGGACATCGGACCGGGACATTCGGATCCCTGGAAAACGGAGTGTTGATCAAACTCTGTCCCTCGCTGCCCGACGGGTCTTGTTGCGCCACGCGATGTGGCGAGTTCGTCGTTTGAACCTCGACGTCTGAAAAATGCAGAGAGATCGGATCGAGAATGAGTTCCCCTCGAGCGAGTCATTCCGACGACCGCTATTTACTCTTTTCTCTTTTTATTATTTCTTCCTCGATGCACGAAGATCTCGTTTCACTCTCTTTTCTTTGCTTTTCAAAGGGCCCGAGGCTATCTATATAAGATATCGAACGGTAGACCGATCGGAAGAAGATCGTATTGCGCGACCGTATTGCGCCTCCCTTATCATTTCAATTCGTTTCGTCTTAGATCGTTCTTATAGCAAGGGAGGACGAGTATTTGTGCGACGCTTGGCTAGTCGTGAACGCGAACGCGCGAGATGGAGAGAGCGCGATCGATCGATCGATCGATCGATCGAATTTATCGCGAAACGAAAGGAAATTTTCCTTTAAAAATGATTACCTGCTGATTTACCTATTTCTTCCAATGTTATTTTTCTCAATATATTGGCTAATCGATAATACGGCGAGTCGATGATACGAATTAAAACGATGAACAGTTTTGCAAACAGAGAAGCCTCTTACTCAATGGTTGACTTAATATTGTTTAGCGATTGGCTGCTTTTACTCTAATATTCCTTTCTTCAGGAGAATGAATCAGAGCGTGAACGAGGTGAAAGTAGTTTGCGCTTCGTGCTCGAAGGTGCTTCGTGGAAAGAGGACGAAGCGACGGGTGATCCGAGCTTTTTGATCGCGCGGCCGGAGAGATGGAACGAAAAGCACCTCTGGTACGAACGTTGCTGTTGGGCCAAGGCACCGTTTGTCTCCTTAATGGCGCGTCCCAGGGCTCGTGCTCGTCGTCAGACACCGAGGTCGACATGGATCTGCAGAACGTATTTCTCAATTGACGCCAAAGCTCACCGTCAAAGCTCAGACGACACTTATCTTCGATAGAGACACATACGTCATACAACGAAGGAGATGTACGTGCGACAAAGATCAGAGAAGAGACTAGGACATGACACAGACAAACACAGGGCTATGGGCGTAAAAGGCAAGCGTAAAGAACGAAAGCTGGAGCGTGTCGTTTGCCGATCGCAAAAACGTGCGCGATGCAGGAGCTCTCTCTCTCTCAAATCTTCATTTAAATCTATATTTTCTATATTTTCCTTTAATCGACTTCGTACGTAATAGTTATCCATCGAAAGCCCTGTTTCGACGACAGTTTTTGCATACTCGGGAATAGGACTAGGGTGGAAAGGAGAAAATAATTTACTGTAGACTCACCCTGCGCTCTTCTTTTTCCCCGTGGGATTGTTCATATAACTCGTATCGAAGTATGGCATATCGTGATAAATGTCGAAGGGTAGCTTGTGAACTTGGGGTGGTTTCATCTGGCCTAAGTATGTGGATGCTTTAATGCCAGGATCGATTTTATCTAAGGGTACTCGTTCATTCGTCGCTTCCAGCGTCCCCGCTATCGCTTGATTGAACAGGTGTACCTAAAAAGAGTAGAAAGGTATATCCTAGAGAATAGATATGTTGTTTTCCTTTTTTTTTTCTTTCTTTTTTTTCTTTTCCTCTGAGGTGGCGAGTCGAGTTCGAGAGAATCTCTTGAGAGAGACTCACTTGTTGCGAAAATTGCACGAGGTCTTGATAGCGGGCTGCACGGTAACGTAGGAGGACTTGGAATATGCTCTTCGACCTCCATTTGCTGCTGTAGAATTTGATAAAGTCCTTCGTCTCCTGTTCCATATCCCCCTTCAGCAATGGAGCCATTTCCTTCCTCACAATGTGGCCCCTGTATGCTGTTGCAGGATCGTCAGATTTTCGATTTGACAAATCGAGAGTTTTGTCTCTTTCCCTTACCTTTCTGTATCATCAGCGCAGCTTCCTCTTGCGTCATATCTATCGACGGCTCCTTCTTCCTTATCGACGCTTTCTTCACTGAAACAATACCGATTAGAATCACGCGAGAAATATCGTCCTTACTTTCGGCGTCATCTTTACCTACCAACTTGTTTCTTCAGGTTGATGACTTTGCTCGCAATATTCTTGCGCGCCAAGAACGCTCTCATCATGCATTGTACCTTGACGATCTTCTTCACTTGGGTCTCGTACAATCGCGATAAATATTCCTCGTTGTAATACTTTAGAAATACTTTAGTTTTCCCGATGATCCATCCTTCCATTTTTAATCTTACTAAAAGCAGTCGACAATTGTCCTTAGTTATCTCCACGTTCTCGTCAAAGTCAAAGGCCAAAAATTTGTATCTGCGGGAAATGTCAATCGTTATCACATCATTTTCTACCTATATATCTACTCGTCTCTTTATTGGATATAGAAAAAAAAAGGATAAAACGAAGGAAGAACCTTCGAAGGAATTCCTGAAAGGTTATTCTGTATGGGTAGCCTCGTTGTCTAGCCTTGGCGGTGTCTAATACGGCCAATGCTCTGATTTGTTGCCTGACTACGTCGCGATAAAAACCTTGTGGTATACCCTCGAGATCGGCACGAATGCATCTGACGAAGTGTATACCACCGCTTCCACCGCCCACCAGGAGGCTCTTCAAAATTTCGAGACTGGTGGATCGAAATGTCGCCGCGCAGGTTCTCATCTTGCGAGTTTGCGAATATTGCCCCTTCGAAGCAGTGTTGTATTTCTAGCGAGAAAATGGAAAGGGGAAAAGCGTCTCATTAACTACGGCTTGATTTTCGAAGGTTATCTCGAATTTTTATTCTTTTACCCTAAGTTTCATATTCTCTTGTATGATAGCTCCCCATTTACTTTTCGGTATTTTCTTCTCCTCCTCTGTTTTCTGATTATCCACCACTATCGTAAGATTACCAGCTTTCGTTAGCTTGTTCGTGAACATATCTTTGACGATATCGAAAGAGGACTGTCTCAGTGTTTCGATCATCTCCGGCGGAACAAAGTCGCGATTTTTCTCGGAGATCTCGCTCGCGTCGTAAACGAGTTTCCCGGTGTAATGGGCTATGGTAAATTCGTGCGAGCTTATTTGTTTTATATGTGTCCCTTGTATTTCTTGTTTTATCTTTTCGAAAATATATTGAACGTCCTGGAGTTGTCTCGATGCTTCGTCTATAATGTGAAACAATCCATTGTCCTTTCCCATCAGTCGATCGATCGCGTCCTTGTTGTCGTAGAAATGGAATTTTTGTACCTTTATATCCTCTTCTTCTTGCTCTTGCTGTAAATTTACGATTAAGATGAATCGCTCGGAATATTAGATCGTGAAATATTTCAATATCTCTCACCATTTCCCATGCGAATATTCGTTGATTGTAATGGCATTGCATCTGTTCGTTGGTGGTATTCACGAACAATTGTTCGATACGGTTCACCGCGAAACACTCGAAACCAAAGAGATCGAGCACGCTTATGGAATACTTGTCACCGCTGAAAACGTAACGAGGCATGAGCGAGCGCGCAAGAACGAAAGAGAGATCGAGATTTTAAAGGCGGGTAAGTAATACGTGAGTGAGTCTTACAAAAGAGTACGAGTCACCGTGAATTTGAGGTTCATCATGTTAATGAGCCAATCGACGAATCGTTGATAAATCGTATTCGCCAAGACGTCCCTTGCCTCTCTTGCCTCCTCGCACGTATGCTTTTTGCGAATGGCCGCTCCTTTTCTAATTAGGCAATAGTTGATCAAAGCCCAAGAAAACTTTTTTTGATCCAGACCGAGCAATTCCGCGACTGAAATTTCCACGTGGAAGCAAAGAGGTGTTATGGGGAAAAAAAAAGAAAAAAAAAAGAAAAGAAAAAAATAAAGAATTAATCGGTGCAGCGAAGTAATCGGTGTTACGTCTCGTTACCTTTGTTTGCCGTTTCATTGCTATCCATTTCGGCCTCACCGTTACTATCTTCGACGAATCTGATTTCTCCGAGTAACAAGATGGCCGCTAATATCTTCCACATCGTGTCAAAGTATTCCTCCATCTCCATGATTTTTAGATTCTCTTTCATAACTCCGAATCTAGTTACGTTTCCATCGGGATCGTTTCTTACTTTAAACGATCGCTTTCGTTCGTTTCCCTTTTCGCCGATTCGAAGATATCGCATTCTCCTTCCGCTTGGAAGATTGTATTGTCTTAATTTTCCAGCCGCTTCGAGGCCATCGTAAAAGTAATAAAATATATGAAAATTCGATTGATTCCTGCGAATTAAAATTACCCGTGAGAGGAGGTGCAGAGGTTTATACGGCTTTATATGGGGCTTTGCGAATCGCGAACGGCTACGAATTATCTCGACGGCTACGAAGCCTGTGAAGTAGCAACCCTTTCTACCTTGAAAGTCGGCACGGTCGCGGATAATAGGGGCAGTTGATTGAGCAGGCTTATAAGCTTATAGGGTCTTCCAATCGGAACGATTTTAACTCATAAGTAGAATTATTATTAGAAAGTATTAAAATTATTTTTTACGACTGATTCGTAGCCATCGAGATTCGTTAAAACGAATTCAAAGTAGAACTAACTTGTCGCGCGTCGAAACGCGCCACTTTTCCAATTGATAGAGCCAAAATATCGCTCCGGACGCTTTCCCGGAGGAACCGTACGTCGTTTGTGTCTGTAGCACGCATCTCGTCGAGTTTGGATTGAGAGGGGTCGCGGCGTTGCTAAATACATGAATCACCTTCAAAGCTTTCATCAGTCTAGCTCCGGTGTCTTGCAAGCTCTGAGAATAAAAAGGTGATTACTAAGTGATAAACTTAGTAACGATGGTTTGCTATTTCTAGAAGAAATATGTACTCGCCTTTCCGAGGAACATGAGATGTTCGATGGCATGCAACATGTTGGTCGTTTTGCCCGAATTACTCTCGCCGGCGAACAAAATGTGTTGAGGTTCCTCGTTGTGAAGGACGTCTTGATAAGCGCTATCTGCGATGGAGTAAACGTGAGGTGCATTGTCGGAGCGCGATTTGCACTGATACTTTGTATGATCCTGGAAGATATCGATGTTCGTTAGTTTAAGCGTGCGTTTGCGATCTTACGGATTCCTTACCTGAGCTCCGTAAATATCGTAATCCTCGTTGGGATTTAATATCAGAAGAACGTCCCCGACGAACGTATGAAAGTGGCCCTGCTGTAGTCTCTCCTGCAACTCGTCCAAGATCGCGTCCTCCGTTAAAACTTCGAGGGCCGCAAGATCCTCGGTGAACATCGCTTCCGGTGGATTGGTTTGATGAGTCTAACGAGACGATACATATTCGTTTCCTACTTTTATTTTTCTTTCTTCTTAATTTTTGCACGCTACATTGATCTTACCTTTAACAAATTTTTTCGAACGATCGCTTCCGGCTGCCTACCCGCTTTGCCCTTCTCCAAAACGTCCATAGCCAGTGCCTTAATTTCTTGGGTCAGCTGTATGCGATCAAAACGAAGCGTAACTTTATTCATAAACGTATAGATGATCGTTTGTAAGATGTTCGGAGAACAATGCATTACCAAATAGTCGTTTTCCGGTAGTTCCGCTAGAAAAGGATGTTCAATGATTTCGGCCATGAACGGTCTGTTGTCAGGATTTTTTTCTAGACATCTGCGAATGAGCACGTTCTTATCGAGCATAACACATAAGAGTGATCTAAATGGTTGGATAGACAGGAAGAAAGGAACATTACGTACTCCGAAATAAAGTCGTTAAAATTTTGCGACCAATTGGACTGTCTGTAGAGGGTCGGCGGTGGATTTCTTACGATCTGAAAGAGCGCGCGAGTAGGATGCATATCTTGAAAGGGTGGTCTGCCGTCTGCTAATTCTATCGCCATTATGCCGATCGCCCAGACGTCCACGCGACTTCCGTATCCGCTATCAGAGCCACCGGCCTTACTGGTCACCACTTCAGGCGCCATCCAATTCGGCGAGCCTATACAACTGTTTCTTCTACCAAGCTCGCCCTTTATCATCCTCGAAAGACCGAAATCTATCAGTCTGACTTCGCCCTCCTTCGTCAAAAGTACATTGCTGCCGCGAACGTCTCGGTGAATGACGTTGTTTTCGTGTAGATGTATCAACGCCTGAAAAACGTTCAAGTTTCACCGATTGCGCGTAGCAATGGATAAGATGGAGAAGAAGGACGCGGAGTGGAAGGATGGTGGCTTTTGGTACGCGGCATCTTTGGCGCCTCTCGAGAATCCTCTTTATAGATTTACTGCAAATTGAACGATCTATAATTTGCGGCCTGCCGTCTCTGGCTGCGTAACAAGCGATGCCAGGTTGAGAGAGAGAGAGAGAGAGAGAACTTGCGAGTTGGCATGCGCATGAAATCATTAATACCCGACTCATCGGCCGAAACCATCTCTTACGTCGTAGAACGTTCCTTCAAGAGCATGCCTCTTTTTCTTTCAACCTCCCATCGCAAAATTTTGGATTTATCGAGGAAAGGAACATTTGGATATGACGATGACGAGAGGAAAATAAAATATAATATAAATGAATTAAGATAAGCTAAGGCTCGTCCCTTCTTTGCTCCTTCGCAACGACGGAGGAGCATTTCTTTTTTCGCTCATTGGGAAGTGAACGGAGCACCGCGGTACGCTTTCGCGGCCATTTGTTTCGCGTGTAATTTGCCGGCATTAAACGTCAGCGTGGTCTGATTTACCGTACGAGCGAGCCTGCTCGAATCGCTACCGTGCCGCGATGGAACGTGCGTACTCGCGATGTGGAAGGGTAAACGGGAGAAGGAGAAAAAGACCTCCCAAATACCGCTTTCGTTGCTTCCGAGTTGACGGAAGGACGCTTCGACGTTTAGCGGACACGGAGTACCTACGTAGTAACATAAATACTTAGGTTACTCGGCTTCGTTAAAAGGAGGAAACGATCGAGAGGTAAGACAAGGACCACACATAGAGCGTAAAACGATTCGAAACGGAAATGGGCGTTTACCTGTGGCGTGCCAGTCGTCCGTGTATCCTGCGACCTTACGTTTTTCCAAGCTTTTCACTTTTTTCCTCACGCTTCCTGCGCAAAGTATGACTTTAAGGGCCGTTCGTTTCGTACGAACGTTCTCTCGCAGCTGCTAATTATACCTCATAGGATCGTGTCATTGTAAATCCTTGCCCTCGGATCTTGCTCTCTATCGGCCAAATGATAGCCTCGAACGCGCGTTCTGAGATCTATGAGGTATTACTTTCATTTCTTTTTCTTTTTTTTTCTTCTTTTTTCTTTTTTCTTTTCTTTTTTTCCAATAAAATTTTAGCCAGTAGCTCGAGAAACCCTTCAAAGTGAAGAGTGGGGAAGAGGAAGAGGAGTTCACGATGGTCTTAATCGATCGTAAGAGATTCAAAAGGAATTCAACCTTCTCTCGCGGATCAGGTATAGTAGTAGGCACGACGCGAGGTGCTTAATTAGCGAGCTATTTCAGCCGTCTTATTTGCGATTTATATGCGTCAAAGTACGTGGCCAAGGATCGATCGACTTAATATCTTTCGCTAGACGTTAGTTGAGTTTGCGAAAAGAACGTTTAGCGATCGTTCGGTCTCTACTAACGGATAAATATCGTTTTACTTTGTTCGCCTTACCTTGATTACCTCCTTAAGTATATAAGCTATGTGTTTCTCGCGCATCTTTTTGTTCGAAGCGATGAGACCTCTCACCAAGTCCATTACGGATCCGCCTTCGCAGAGCTAGAAAAACGACAAAAAGAAAAAAGAAAAATTGAAGAAAATCTTAGAATCGAGACACGTAGATAGGCATATATACCTATCTACGTAGACGGAGAGTCCTTAATCTAATGCCCTTAAAGAAGAAATTACAACGCAAGCAAGATGCAATTCGTAGTTCATTTAGATCGTGTCTCTATTCGAGTCCAAGGTCCCGAGAGTATACCGCGATTGAAATACCTTCGTAATTGCGGAAGCAATCTGAACCTGGAGACTCGAGATTAAAGTTTTTCTTTTTATCGCGCGTTAATCGTTCCATCTTTCTTGTCTCTCCTCCCCTATCTCTCGTCCGGCCGATATTAAAAAAGAAAACAAACAAACAAACAAAAAATAGATAAATAAAGTAAAAAAAAATTTTTTTTTGAAAATGGCGAAGAGACGACGGGGACTTCGACGATTAATCGAGCGTTTCGCCGCGTCTTCGTTGCGATCCTTCGGGCGGTCAAGGGGCTTCGTAAAACGCGCTACGATATGAAATACAACCGGCGATAAATCCTTTCCACGTTGTCGTTCGCGCAAAGCGCATCTTTTTCTCTCGTTCCTCGGCCCTCCCCATCCCTCCCCGCTCTTAATCATCTTACTCTTGTTCCTCCTACTAGCGAGAGGCGTTTCCCTTTATTCGATCGAACATTTTGTTTTTGTTTAACTATCGTCTAGCTGTAGGATGGTCGCGAGACTCGTTTCGCGCTTGGATATCGTCGATCGATCAACGAGCTGTGCGGCTCTTACGTCGAGCATCGTCGCTTTATCCGAGATAAGTAATAATATTTTGGGTTCGCCGTGGAGGTCCGCCCGTAAATTAGGGCCGCGACGTGCCAGGCCTCACCTGCGTACACGAACGAGTTTAATGATTGTTTAATGGCCACGCGTGTCGTAAATTATCCGTGTATTCGACCGTCTCAAATGCTTGAAATTGCCTTCTGCTCGAGGCACGGCCATATACGCGGCGAGCCCTCGCTTCTGGCCTCGTTTCTCTCCTTTCCTCCTCACCTTCTCGACCTCTCTCCGAGTGCCCCTTCTCTCGGCAGAGAGGGTGAGAGAGAGGAGAGAGAGAGAGAGAGAGAGAGAGAGAGAGAAAATTACGACGTTAGAGAGACTCGCCCCGAATTTCCTCGCGAGATCGCCGATAGGTAATGACGCGACTTCGACGAAATTTAACGAGTTACGAGGATGCAAATCGTGCAAGAACAACTCACCTCCATGACGAGCCATATTTGATCATATTCCGTCTTCTTTCCCGATCTCCTTCGATAAATTCCATAAAAATCTGGAAGGTTGGGATGTCCCGCGAAATCTCGCAATACCCTATATTCTTCGACGATCAAGGCCTGCGTCTCCGGCGTAAGCTTTTGTATCTTAATCGCCACTTTTTTGTTGCCTGCAAAAAGGGATCATGTCGATGAGTAAAAATTCATTGTTCAAGGCGAACGGACGAAGCAGAGAGAGAGAGAGAGAGAGAGAGAGAGAGAGAGAGAGAGCGAAAGAGTTTGCCTACCGGCTTTTTGGTCGATCGCCTCGTAAACGTCGCCGCAAACTCCAGAACCAATGACTTCTTTGAGAGCATATCTCTTTTCCGGATCTTGCATGCTGTCCAATCGTTGAAGAGTACCATGATCACTCGTGTTCTTCTCGCGTATATCGAAATCGTCCTCTTCTTCCGGATCACGAGACTTCCCGGGACGTCTCCCGGCACCGGCGGATCTTCCTCTTCCGTCGTAATCGTATTCATCCATCGCGCAAACGATTCTCCGTCTATTTGACCTGAAACGAGCATTTCCCATTCAGGGAATTGAATAGAGAGGGCAGATGGTCAGATCGCCCCTATCAGAAAGTAATTATCTCCTTTCGTATAAAAATATGTAAAATATTGGCAAAGAGCTCGCGATTCTCTTGAAGGAGTCGACGACGAAGCGATTTTCAGAGTGCACGTATTACGGCACTCGATGATTCGACGATGCGTAGAGGACCGTGTCGCATCGGCCGCCCTCGAGGATGACTCTTCGAACGTACTTGGAATATTTTTAAGAGACTTTGCCGCCATCGCCGCCACATCGACGACGACGACGACGACGACGACGACGACGACGACGACGACGACTGTGACTGCGACGAAGCTGGCTCGGCTTTCGCTGCGCTTCCATCACAAAGCCGAGTGCTAATTATATTCATTCTCGAGAGCCGCGTGAATGAGAGGTAATCGCTAATTAGTAGCTTGCCTTCCTCCCGAAAACTTCGACAACTTCAAGAAGCCAAGATGTCGGAGAATGAACGAAAGACAAGGAAAATGGGATTCCTTCTTCGTTGTTACTCGTCGTCGAAAAATATTAGTTATGCCGATTACAAAACGATTATATAATTACTCGAAACGGAATAATTAGAGTTTAGCGAAGAGCATTTTTTGCCATTCGTCGTCCGTTCGACGGTCGAATAAGATCTAAATTCGTTTTCTCCCCTTTTTCCTCTCTCTCTCTCTCTCTCTCTCTCTCTCTCTCTCTCTCTCTCTCTCTCTTTCTCTAGCGAAACAGTTCTACGACGACGATGGTCATGCGGGGTACTTGTGGGGCTACGGAAACATCGTAGGTGGGTACATATCCCATTTATCGGATCTCGGAGATTACGTAAGATTATTTAACGCATATACGGATCCACACGGCATATCTAGATAGAACTAATATACGGGTTTTATGATAAAGAATCGTAGCGATCGTTCGCACTCTCTTTCCACGAAGAATCGTTAATCAAGGATGATTCTTACTTATCTCCCTACGTTATTCCTTTACGTCGTTACTCATCCGTTGTTTTTTCCTTTATCCTCCTCATATTTTTTTTTTACCATTTTACGCTTCGCCTACAGACTCCTTTATCTCGTTTCTTCTTCAACGTTCCTCCGTCCGTTCTTTACCGCGCAGTTGATAAGCTTCACCGACACGAAAAGCTCTCTCCGCGAAAGCTCTCTAATCGGATCATCGTTGAAA